GACCGCCTGAGCTCCCAGGTGGAATTTCTAAGACTGGAAGTGAAAAGGCCTCTTCTTCAGGACAGCCAGAGGTATGGCTGGTCACAGGTAGGGAACCCAGCTTGCCTGTCACGGCAGGACGTGGCACTTGTGTCCCTGCAGAACTCCTCCGGTCCTAAGTCATGTATGCTTCTTGTCATACCCCTCCACTGGTGGCAAATGACAAATGGATGAATTCAGGACTTCGGCACGTGAGCGAGCTATTTCGGTGATCATTAATGCACATTGTGTGCTTCGGAAGGCTGGAACTGGTCACAGACTTTTAAGCCAAGATATGAAAGTGCCAGTTTGGTGAGCGGGAAGTCAGGAATATTCTGGGTCTGATGAGACTGCTTTTTTTAGAAAACGTGTCTCAGGTCAAAACGAGAGAGGAGACTTACCTTCTGCAACCGCAGCACTCCACTGAGGTGCTTCCAGCTGTCTTAGCACGTGCTATCAATCTCTTTGAATGGTTTCTATCAGTTATTAACCATAGTAAGCAAGCTGTGCATGAAATCTTAAAATGAATCATAGCTGTAGTTGTAGTCATCTTGAAATACAGAGCTCTAAGCTACAAACTTAGAGCTTTAAGTACAAACATTTTAAAATATGATTTTGAATAAATGGAAATCAGTGTATCAGTTTTGGAAAAAAAGCTCTGTAGCAGGCTCACGGTCCTGAACGCATGCTCACTGTTTAATTTGTTTTTTTTTTCTGCAATAATCTTGCCCAGGTCTTTGGTGTCCACAAACTATCTAGCTGCAGCAGTTGAATATAAGAGAGCAGCCACGCTGTTCACAAACCACCTCTTCCAGCTGAGACATGCACCAGTTGTGAGACATCATTCCCATTAGGAAAAACTGCATCAGTACCATCGGCACACGGCTCTGGTCAATACTGCAGTTCAGAGCAATCACCATGCAATTGTCCTCTGCACAGGGAACAAACCAGACATTAAATAGGGATTGTGGTTAGCTTTATCTTGTATGAAATCTCATGCTGTATTTAAAGCTGGTGAATCTAATCCTTGCTTTCTTCACATATTTCTCTGCTTTTCCTGCTTCTGTCTTCCCCTGCATTCTTATACTTCTATCACAGTTGTTATATTAACAAAAAGTGGCGATGACTCCTGTATAATAACATTTCATCTGAAACCATGCCATGCTGGGAAGATGGTAATTTAGTTAATTGAATTCCCTCTAAAATGGTACTGAATCACTGAATCAATATTCCAGCATAGTGCTGGCAACGCATAGATGTCAGTGAAGCATTGCATTCAGTGTCAAACCAGTATCTCAGGGAGATAGACCACAAGGATTTGAAATTCTAGTCCCAGGCCTAGATTTATACCTCCGAGAAAGTGCCTGACGCACCGGCATACAAGCTGCTTTCTGAATCTTGTCTGAACACCATTTACAGCCTAGTCTGTGTATTTTGGAAAACATCGTCCGTCAGACTAGCAGTGAAATGGAAAAGTACTGAGGAAGGCAGCGCAGGTACGGCTCAATGGGGAAGCTGTTTTGCCTGGCCTGGGACCAAAGACCTGCACTGTACCAACACAATCCACCCTGTGGAGGGATGCTCACTGTGGGAGGGGTTTTTTGGAACAGCAACATTGATGAGCTCTTCCTGGTGCTCCTACACGGGCGCAGAAAGGGTAAGACCTTGCTGGGCTTATTGGCATTCGCTGTCTCGCTCTTCTAGGAATGAATCTATGTCCTTGAGGAGCAGAGCGATCAGTCTTCTCACCTCAGAGAAAAATGACCTCTCAGAGGAGCCAGATCCCTCATCCCAGACACACAATTTACTGTCAGAGTGTGAAATGTATCAGACATGACCCCAGATGATTTTACAAACTATCTAGGGAAGTGACCCTCGGGGCAGAGAACACATTTTACAGCTAAATTCATCATAAACACTCAGCTGAGCCTTCTGGGCTGCATGTCTCACCGGCGAGCTGGGATGTCAGCCTGTAAGAGGGTCTGGGTTTGTTCAAAACGCTGGAGCAGGTGAGTGTTTGTGGTGGCAGGGTTGGGAGCGAGCTCTGGCGTGTCCCTCTGCTGCGAGAGTGGGGCCGGAGAGCGGCCAAGGGGAAGAAAGAAATGGGAAGGAGAAAAAAAGCTTCGTGTCTGGGGCTTGGATCAATGCAAACAACATAAATACTGGCTGAGACACCTTCCGCCCACTGGCTCCTGCAGTGAGAGGGAATTACACACTGGCTGCAAAATGTCTTTCTTGAGCTGGTGTGGAGCCAACCGCAGAGCAAACGCTTGGCCAGAGCAAATTCATTAGCACAGGGGAAATGGCTGCAAGCCCTTTTGTTTGGGCTGTGCCACTTTTCATCACAGAAAGTAGTTGGGCGACTAGTGTTTTAAGGTCTCTGCTGTCTCAGCAGCCTGGGGCACCACTTCAAGCTTCCCTGGCAAAACAGCAGGAGCTGCTGGTCCCACAGAAGTTCCTTCAGCTTATGGTCTGCTCGAGGGCTGAGCATCCCAATTTGGCTTCTCCTCATCCATCCTTGTGCTCCCGTGCCAACCGTCCTGGGGACCTCCGCTTTCCTGCCCACGTTAGTCACAAAGACTGATGTTTAAAGGCCATATTCTTTGCACTTACCTCCCCGTGAGGCCATATCTCCACCTGGCTTCGACCATGCACAGGGGGCTGTGTGATGTGTCTGCGATGCGGATCACAGCCGCAGTACTCCGGATGCTTTTTCTAAAAGGGGCTTCCCACCCTCCTGCAAGGACGAACAAGGCGAGCCTTGTACACACATACGCAGCCAACAGCTCCCCAGGAGATCGCTACGCTGGTATTTAGAAAGCTTTCCATTTTTGGTGAAGGCCTAAATCAATGTCTCGTTGCTCCCAGGAAGCTGTTCCCATCGCTTCGGGGGAAATCACTTCTTTTCAGGTCGATCTCAGGCACTTTGCAGCCATTGGACCCTGTCGGGTCTTTCCTGGCACCAAATTCTCCTGGGACTGTTGTGGCAGGACCAAGACACCAGACTAGGTGGTACCAACCAGGCTGGTCAGAGTGCCTCACCACCCAGCCCTGTCCCCACGCAGGGAAGAGCGTGCCGCCTTGGGAACAAGGGGAAGGTTGGAGGGGGAAAGTGCCGTGTAAGCCGTGGAGGACGTGAAGAGGAGCTGGAGTGGGTAAGGAGCACTTTTAGGCTGGTTGGTTTGGCAGGGCGTGGGAACCGCTAGCCCCTGCGTGACTTCTGCCGTGGCTCTGCAGGCTGCAGAGAAGCTGCCGCTGCTCAGGATTCAGAACTGGGAACCACCGACTGATGGCAAGGCTGGGCTGGGCTGGCTCTCCAGGGGAGGTCCCGTGCCCCTGCCCCGGCTGCTGCATCTCCTGAGCAGCAGCAGCTCGGCTCATCCTTGCTTCTAGACGAACTCACGGAGCTGACGCCAAGTGAGGACCCACCCGCCCTCCTTGCAGGCTCACAAACCTGCTACGTGGGCAGCTGAGCTGCTGAGGCCCCCAGCCTCTGAGGCAGAGGTGGGGTGAGCAGCTGGGGGAGGAACGACTGCTGTGCTCTGCTGCTGGACACGGGGATGCCAGAGCTGCTGCTCTTGCCACATGCAAGCTTGAAACTGTGAGAAACGTAAGTATGATTCGTGTCAAGACGGAATATGGTGTGATAAGTGTAATTGTGGTACTCTGTGCGGATCTGAATTGAATTGGGATCGCTATAACCTATATAATAATGGTGATGAATGTTGGAATCAACTCGAGAATGTAGGCAGGGTCGCGGCTCTCCGCGCACCCGGCGCTGCTTTGCCTATTGCTTCTCACCCTAAATTGATTAAACCCAAATAAAATTATATGCTTTTTTAAAAGATTGGCTTCAATCATTTATATCAAAACCAGGCAGAAATCCCCTTCCCAGTCTTGATTTCCCAGCAGCAAAAGCACGTCAGCACCCACCACTCCCCTTTCAGAGCTGCCCTGACATGGGTACCCCACTTTGCTCCACCACCAGGTCCTGACCAGAGCCACGTACAGGCAGGGGATGAGTCCCACAGGGCCTGGCCTGCTCACCTCATCACGACGTGTATCTTCCCCGCCACAGCCTGCAAGGCTGCACCAGGACGGGGCTGTGGATGGCACCTCCACAGACCGCGAGGCAGCGCAGGACAGCCTTGCCCTGGGAATTTCACACATCATTTTTGCAGCCGGGTAGTGGCATCAGTAAAGGCTTAAAGTCCCCCAGCAACAACTTTTTGCAAGAGGTCTCAGAAAGAGCGTTCAGGGGCACAGCCAGCCACAAACCCCCTGCTCAGAGGAGGGCTAATATCCCTCCAGCCCTCATCCCCAGCCTGCCACCGGTAGACCCTCTCTGAGGGTGAGGCTGAAACCAGACCCGAAGACGACCTGTGCTTTAAAAAGCAGCTGCAGAAGGTGCAACGCTGCACGCTGGCAAGAGAGCGAGCCTGCCCAAAGCCACACGCGTGCCCCCCAGCACATCCCTCGCAGCGTGGGCAGTGCCACAGCTGCGAAAATAACCCCTGGGGGTTATTTAGGGAGCCCAGCTCCGAACAGGCGACCAGGGAGGTGGGTATCCAGCTGGAAAGCCCGACACGACCGCCCAGGCAGCGCTGCGGCGGGCCCTGCCTGTGCCTGCACCCAGCCTCCTGCACCCGAGAACCCGCCGGAGCGGCCACCCCATCCCGGAGCTGCCGTCCCCTCCTGGAGCCCAGCCTATTCCCAGGGAATCGTTACCAGGAGCTCGTGTGTTTGGTTGCAAACAGAGCAGGAGCGGGAGCCAGGCGCTCGTGTTTGTGTGCCTGCGGTTGCTCAGGCAACTCGGGGCCAGCCAGGAGCTGCCAAAACCACCCGGCGGCCGGGGCCGAGAGCCCACGGCACGGCTGCCCTGGAGGGGCACGGCCAGCCAGACCTCCCACCGCCCGGCTGGGCGAGCGGGGCGAGGGGCTCTCGCTGCTCGGTCCCGCTGAACACCAACACGACCCCGGGCGTCAGTGCGGACGGGGTTTTATTGCAGAGCCAGGTTACAGCGCGGGTCTGCAGCATCCTTTGGTTTGGGCTTCACGGAGGCAGTGGGAGGCCGCGGGAGCTCAGGTCGGAGACCTTTGCTGATGGCCAGGCAACGCCAAGCTCTCCCGGGGTGCGTCCCGGCAGCACCGGCGCTAACGGCACCGCAGGGTCTGAGCCTCCTGAGGTGCTGGGCAAGAAGCAAAGCCGGGCAGCCCTGTGGCGAGGGCACGGGTGGGGAAGGAAGGAGGCGACTGTGGCGTGACTGTGGGGTTAAAGCAGATCCCTGGGAGGTGTGCGGGGAAGACAGGCTGCGCTCACCAGTGGGGTTGGCAGGGAGGGCGCCCCGAAAGCCAGGGCTGAGGTAGGGGAGGTCTGGGTGCCAGAAGCCCTGAGGAGCAGTGCTGTTAGTACAGTGGGTGCTGCCACAAGGAGCAGGGGGGACAGCACAGGGGGGGGACGGGAAGGGCTGGGGGGGGGGGGGGATGTCACAGCACGAGGGGGGGACAGACGTAGCGCGGGGGCAGAGCACGCGGCCCGGCGACTTTCCCAATCACATCAGCGCTGGGTGAACGACATCCCGCCAGCCCGGGGCTGGCCCCAGCGCAGCCTCCCGGGCCCCACGTCACGCGGGCATGTCCCAAGGCTGACGTGAGCGCCGGCCCCACGGCCGACGGGCAGGGACCGGGGCGGTGGGCGCCACGGGCACCCGTCCCTACTTTTTCACTTTGGCATCGTAGGTGCCCGCGTTCTTGTAGGCACTGACGTAGCCGCTGGTGTCCACGATGTTCTCCCGCCCGCTCTTGCCCTTGCCCTTGCCGCTCTCATCGAAGCGTTCCTTGTGGGAGCCCGTGTACTTGGAGGTGTCTGTCAGCCTCTCCACAGCCCCCACCGTCTTGGCTTTCTGCAGTGGGGATGCAGGAGTCAAGAACATGCCCCATCCCCTTCACCCCTTGCCCCACTCAAGCTCCTGACACCCACTGAAGGCCCTGCCGTGCCCCCTGTGCCCCCCAGACCTATGCAACCCCCCACGCCCCCAGCCCATCCAGGGCCGTGGGGTCTCCTGGAAAGCATTTGCACTGCGGGCAGGGCTCTGTCCTCCCCTCCCCACCATCCCTCCCGCTCCCAGCAGCCGAGGGGCTCTTCACTCACCGTGACACCCACGTTAATGGGCTCCTTCCCTGCCACCAGCTGGCAGATGGCTTCGTACGCCTCCTCTTTGCTCTTGTCCTTAAATCTCTTGGGGGCCAGCTCCTCCAGCGCCTTCTTGAACTCCTCGTAGTTGATGACGCGGGCTGTCTTCCCTCTGCAAGCACAAAACCCAGGCTGCCATCAGCACAGCTTCAAGCGGTGCCTCCAAACGGGGCCGCAGCGGGACGAGAGGCATCAGGGAGACCCCGGCTTTGTCCCCCACCAGCCTCAGGCCCCTTGCCCACCTCCGAAATGCAGTTACAGCCAGGGTGATCCCGGCTGAACGGGCCGGCTGGGCACAGCCGGTGCTGAGCTTCGGGAGATTTTCAGCCACATGCTGTTAAAGTCCCTGGTGCCAAAAACCTCGCTGCTGCAGGGAAGCGCCCTGGGACTTGGGTGCTGGTGGCAGGAGGGGACACGCATCCATTCCCACTGCTGGCAGCCTGCCTGGGATGCCCAGCACCCTCTCTCCCCTGGCAGGCATCAGTCCTCTGGTCAAATTCGGGAGGATGTGCACACAGCACCCCTCCCACGAGCGCCTGGTCCTCATCTTTGGGGCAGCACAGCAACCCCGCCCAGCTACACGCCAAAAACCTCCCGGTGCTCAGACCCTCGTGGCCCCACAAGGGGAATGCCTGGACAGAGGGAGTGGAGGGAGCAGGTTTTCCACCCATCCTTGCTCCTGGTGTGGAGCATCAGGTGTCACCATGTCCTCAGGGACGCCAAAAGCAGCCCCGGGTGCCTTTAGCTCTTCAGCTGCCCCAGTGATCTCCAAGGACCAGCATCCTCCCCAGGCTCTGGTGTGGGCTGGGCAGGCCCCGGGATGGGCTGTGCCACACCACACACAGGGCACCCCTGAGCACCCTCCTCTGCTCCCTGCGGCACCTTCTTGCTAGATGGGACCCTGGCAGACCCAGCTGGGCCCAACCCAACGCCTGGGAGCACCAAAATCTGAACCTCCCACCCTCTAGATTTGGATTAATTTATTATGAGGTCTTGCAAAAGCAGCCACACAAACTCCCTGAAGGCAGGACCCCCACCGCAAGGGCATCCCCACCCTCTGGGCAGCTGGAGGCCCCGAAAAACCAAGTCACTTACTTCACCTTGGAGAAGACAATGTCCACATCGGTGCTGGTGACGCTTTTGCCATCGGTGACTTTGCAGTCTTTGCACAGCTTGGCCCAGTTCTTCCCATTCATCTCTTGCCCCGTAGCCTTGGTGTCGCCGTAGATGGCGAATTTGCGGAAGCTCTCTTCCAGGGATGCCATCTCAGTGCTGCCGGCCATGGGGCTGCAGGACAGGGTGGGGCAGAGGGGCCCCCGTTACTGCCCAGGCTCTGGCTGCGGCGGAGCTCAGCCGGCTCTCCTCTCAGGTCTGCGAGGGCAGGAGGAGGAGGAGGAGGGCTGGCGAGGGAGGAGGGGGCTGCAGCAGGAGCGGGGTGTCGGCAAGAGCCCGCGGGCGTGGGGTGCCTCGGACGAGCCCCCGAGGCCGACAGCTGGGAGGTGTCGTGAGGGATGGAGGCTCCCAGCTGAGAGCTGCCAGCGGCGAGGCTGTCGGCTCCAGGGGCCGGCGAGGGAGCGAGCGCATCAGCCGGTCCCCTCGGGAACGCTCTCTCCGGGAATGACGCGATGCGGCCGCCTTCCTCCTGCTCGCCCCGAGCGTGAGGAACGGCACCGCTGCCTGCCTCCTCCTGCCTCCCCCCCCACCTCCCCCCGCTGCCTGCCTGGCTCTGCCAACGGCCGCGTCCCCCTCCGTGGAGCTGCCAGCACCCCGGCTCTGCCCCCTGCCCCTCCCCAGTCGCAGATGGCGTGGCCCTGCCCCATCCCGGCTCCTCGCCTGCCGTCGCCTCGCCCGGCTGGCTCAGCACCCCTCGCCACGCCCTCAGCACCCACAGCACCTCGGCCAGGACCGGGGGTCTGGTGCCTGGGTGCGGGCGCAGCACCCCGAGGTGCAGAGCGGGTACCACCGCGGGGGGGTAACACACACCCCCCCCCTCCCCGGGCCTTGGCGAGAGCCGGAGATGGAGAGCGGAGGAGAGGAGGGCTCGGCTACTGCACCGCCGGCCCTTGTGCTGCGTGGCGACCGTCGCTAAGGAGGAGGAGCGGCGTTGCCTGGCGACCGTCGCTAAGGAGGAGGAGCGGCGTTGCCTGGCGACCGTCGCTAAGGAGGAGGAGCGGGGCGGGGAAGCCGCTGATCCCCGCCTGTCCCCGGGCTCCCCCGGGGACACCCGCCGCCCCCGGGCCCCGCAGCGCGAAGCCGGGACCCTCCCCCCGCCCGGGGGATGTCGGAGCAGAGGCCGGGGGGGTCCGAGGGGTCCCGCTGACGCCGCGGTTCGGGGCGGGGGTTGGGGTTTGGGGGGGGGATCCGGGCTCCGCCGCGGCCGCGCTCACTCACCTCCCGGCGCCGCGCTCTGAGGCGGGGGGGGCGGCCGCCGCCGCCTGTTTAAGGCGCCGCCATGGCGACGGGAGGGGCCCCGGGCCGCCCCTTCCCGCCCCCCCCCCCCACCCCCGGGCCGGGCAGCGCCCTCGGGGCGGGGAGAAGGAACCCGGCAGCCGTCCCGGACCATCTCCGGGACGCCCTCGGCCACCCCGCAAAGCCCCTCCACCACGCCACGAGGACCCACCACCACCCCACAAGGTCTTTCCTCCACCCCAAGAAACCCCTCCACCACCCCACAAAATTACTCCACCACCCCATGAGGACCCACCATCACCCCACGAGGAGCCACCATCACCCTACAAGGTCTTTCCTCCACCTCATGAAGCTCCTCCTCCACCCCACAAAGCCCCTCCACCACCCCACAAAACTACTCCACCACCCCATGAGGACCCACCATCACCCCACAAGGTTTTCCTCCACCCCACAAAGCACCCCCACCACCCCAAGAAACCCCTCCAGCACCCCACAAAACTACACCACCACCCCATGAGGTCCCACCACCACCCCACAAGGCCTTTCCACCACCCCACGAAACCCCTCCACCACCCCACAAAATTACTCCACCACCCCATGAGGACCCACCATCACCTCACGAGGAGCCACCATCACCCTACAAGGTTTTTCCTCCACCCCACAAAACCCCTCCACCACCCCATGAAACCCCTCCATCACCCCACAAAACTACACCACCACCCCATGAGGTCCCACCACCACCCCAGAAGGTCTTTCCACCACCCCACGGAACCCCTCCACCACCCCACAAAATTACTCCACCACCCCATGAGGACCCACCATCACCCCACGAGGAGCCACCATCACCCTACAAGGTTTTTCCTCCACCTCATGAAGCTTCTCCTCCACCCCACAAAGCCCCTCCACCACCCCATGAAACCCCTCCACCACCCCACAAAACTACACCACCACCCCATGAGGACCCACCATCACCTCACGAGGAGCCACCACCACCCTACAAGGTTTTTCCTCCACCCCACAAAGCCCCTCCACCACCCCATGAAACCCCTCCATCACCCCACAAAACTACACCACCACCCCATGAGGTCCCACCACCATCCCACAAGGACCCACCATCACCCTGCAAGGTCTTTCCTCCACTCCACGAAGCCCGTCCACCACCCCACGAAACCTCTCCACCACTGCACAAGGACCCACCATCACCCCACAGGGTCTTTCCTCCACCCCACGAGGCTCCTCCATCACCCCACGAGGTGTTTCCACCACCCTGCCGCTGCAGGCTCCCCCCCGGCAGCTTCCCTGGGCTCTGCCCCGTAGCCCCGTTGCCCACACTAACTAGCCAGTGTGCCCCTCCATAGAGCAACCGGCCCCTCTCAGCGGGTCCCCCACGGACCGAAGGTCACCGCCCACGCTGTGGGGATGAATGCCAACTGTCCTGGCGTGCCTGGCACCGTGGCGAGCGCCTGTCCCCTCGGGACAACCTTGGAGCAACCCCGGGGACAGCCAGCCCTGTGCCAGCGCTGCCCAACGCGGCCGCTGGCTTCCCTTACCAGGAGCCCGACCACACATGGGGCTCCCAGCCTGAAACAGCACCCAAATATTGTGGTTGCCGTGGAGTTCTGACGCAACCCGCGTCACTTACTCACGGCCCCACCTCAGCTGTTTGCCTGGAGCCCTCTCCGACCTCGGCGCTGCCCCGTCCTCGCTCCGGCGGGCGCAGCGCGTGGTGCAGAGCCAGCTGCAGCCTCCCCCCGCGGTTCTGCACGCCGAGGGGACGCAGGATGCGGTTTGCTGCTGCCGTGCAGGGTCCCACGGGTGAAGCGGCAGCTCGGGGAGCCGGGCAGAGGCTCCAACAAGAGGCAGCGTGAGGCACCCTGCGGCCTCTGTCTGTCCTCGTCCTGGTGCAGAGGAGCTGCTGGGCAAGGACGGACACGGGTGTCCCCATGGCTGAGCTTCCCCGGGGGTATCTCAGTTCTGCTCTTGCACCCAGAGCCCTTTGCTGTGGGGCACGGCCCCAGTGACAACCTCCCTTTCTTGGCTGAGGGGTGCACGTTCTCTGCTGGGACCTCGTTGCCAGCTCTTGACCGGACAAAGCCCCGAGCAGCCCGCTCGTGCCGATGCTGGCTTGGGGTGAGGTCTGGAGACCTCCAGAGGTGACCGTCAGCCAAACCTGCGAGTTTTGGGTTTGGGATCGCTGCCTTCACCTCCCGCCTCCGAGGTGAGCGCCAGGGCTGGTGTCAGAGGGCGCAGTCACGCCACAGCACCTGGCTGCTTTGGGTAGCCCCAGATGCTCACAGCCCCGTGAAAGACCCCACTTTGTCATGTCCCCCGACCAGCCGTGGGATCTCTCTGTTGGAAGAAGCTGCTGTTTCACAGCCCAGCCAGAGGCAAGGTGGCAACCCATGGATGCCTGGTGGCAAGGACACCACGGAGTGACACCACCCTGTCAAGGGTGGGCAGGACAGATGTGAAGGATCACCTAGTAGGGCTGGACCAGCCTGATGCCAGGGTCCAGGCAGACCTCACCAGTGAATGTTTCTCCTCTGTCCAGCTTGTCCTGGTAGAGCTCAGATGCTGCTGCATGGAGGATGTGGCACCAGGAGGACTCTGTCCTGAACACGCACGCTTCCTTCTCTCCATAAAATATGAAAGCAGGTCCCAAATTGCAGAGGCTCCGAGGTTACAGCGGCCGGCTGCGAAGTGGGAATTGAAATCAGCCTCCACCCGGGCCAGCAAGGACCTCGGGCTGTCATCCCACCCTGCAGAAAGTGGGGCAGAGCTGCTCGCCTTGCTCTCTGCTTTAAGGAGAGGGCAATAACTGGGGCCGTCATATCAGGGAGGGTGGTTAAGTCTTGCTGAAGGTACAGCCCTGTCCTTAGCTCGCCCTGCACCTCCCCACCAAAGCGGGCATCTCCAGCTTTGTTTCCAGCCGACAGTTCTGGGAGAGGAGCCCGGGAAACGCTGGCTGGAGCAGCTAGCCCGCAGCGGCTCTGGCAGGGCTTGGCAGCAGCAGGCAGCACAAGAGCCCAGTTTCACCACCCAGCTGGCAGCAGGCAGGAGCTGAGCGGGAGCTGGGCACGTTGGCAGCGATTCTGCCAGAGCTCCAGCCGGGCCCGGGGGCTGCAAAGCCCCAAGAGCCAAGAGGCGGCACAGAGGGAGAGCCGGGCGAGCGGCCGGCACCAAGCCAGGGCTGGCCAGTTGCCCCACGGGATCGGGTTGAGCAGGTCAGGTTTTGGTTCCTAAGGGCTGGGGTTTGTTGTGCATTTGTTGTCACCATGACAGCCCTGTTGGGACGGAGCAGGGTTCCTTGGCTGGCTCCTGCTGTTCCTCACGCAGCCCGGAAAAGGAAGCCCGGGAGGAGGCCGTGACTTGGTCTGGAGCCCGTGGCACGGGCAGGAGCTGAGGAGGAGGTTGCACAGGCCCTGTGATGTGGTGGAGGAGCGGGGACACGGCTCAGCGCTCAGCTACGGGGGGACCTTTCCCTTGTTGTGATTTCCAATAAAGGTCTGGCTATTCCCAGGCTGTCTCTTGACCCCCGGGAGCTTAATGAGCTGCGTAACTCCAGTGCTTGCCCGAGACACACCGAGGCAGCTCAGCGTCCCCGAGATGCCGCTTCGGAGGACGGGTTGGTCCCTGCTAGGACCATCCCTGCCTCCTCACCTTCCTGCAGAGTCCCTGCAATAGCTCCAGGGTGCAGCTCGGAGCCTGCTCGAGAGCACAGGCACAACCTCAGAGCACCCTCTGCGCTCACCCTCCCTCCTCTTTGCCTCTCGCCTCCCCCGGGGCTGGGCACCAACAGGCTCCCCGGAGTCCTCTTGTTTCAGGAATGAGTCGCTGGCTCAGCCTCATCTGGGGTGGGATGAGGTTATGCGGGAGCACCGGTTCTCCAGCACAAGTTGCTACAAAACAGAGGGAAGTGTTTCGGAGGTTGTGCAATATGTATACGGTCACCGCAGCAACCGCGCGTCCACAAGGCATTAACGGGGCTCAGCGGCGGCTGCTGCGGCTGTGCCAGCGCCCTGCAAGCCAACGGGGATCTGCCACCCGAGCTGGGGTCCCGGCTGCGAGGCTCAGCGCCGGGCAGAGAGCGCAGGGAAAAAAGCAGGAGCTTCCTTTTCCCCTCCCTGCAGTTCAAGGCAGCGCCTTGAGATGCTCTCGGGACGTGCCCGAAAGCAGAGCCCAGGAACAGAGTCACCAAACTTCATTTCCCAGGGGAAGGTCCCCTTGACTTCCAAGAGAAAACTAAGAAACTTGGGTCGGGCCTGGAGCTGAAAGCAAGCAGGGTGTGCGTCCCACGCCACGGCTGAGAGGCTTACAGCAGGCACTGCAAGGCCTGGAACAGCTGCTGGTGAGTGGCCAGGGACTTCGATTTATGATTTTAGAGGACTCTGGAAAGGTGTCAACCATCCTGCAATTGCATTGCTTGTTCCTAACAAAAAGCCACAGCATCTCATGGTGGAAAAGGCCAGTCCTGAGCAGTGCCTCCTGCTGATGGGAGAGCTCGTGCTCTGGCAAAAAACTTTTATTTAGTGCTGGAGAAGGTGCTTGGGGATGCCCGACCTCAATGTGACTGCAGCGATGGGGAGCTGAAGGCGTCGGGACTTCTACTGTCACCTTAACCCAGCGCTCTGATGGTCTTAGGCCGTAGCAAGGGCTTAGCTCGCGGTCACTGCAGTCCTCCGGTGTCGTGGCCAGGACGGCTCTGCCCGCACGCTGGCCTCTGCAGCAGGACCCTGATGGGACTCCTTCCTTTCGCTTGCTGCCAGGGGTCTGCTACAGACCTTCCTCACCCAGCGTGCCTCGCCGGGGCAGCAGAAACGCCCTCCGCACCTGAACCCGCAGGCTATCAGCGTTAGGATCGCAGGAGGACAGAAATAAGGTGGGGAAGGAGAGGGCCCAGGCTGTGCCTGCCCCTGCTGTGACCATCCTGGAAGGGTACCCGCTGCCTGCCGAGGAAAATTTCCCCAGCTTTGTGGGTTATCACACACAGCACCCAAAGCCAGGGTCCTGAGGGCGCGTGCGTATTGCAGAGCGGCGTCTGCAATAGCCGAGATGCTGAACTGCCCTTACGAAGGTTCATCCTTTCCGGGAACTGATCTGGGGCAGAGAGCAGTTCTCCCAGGAGCTAAAACCCTCTCCGTCTCACCATTTTCACTCTTGGGCGCCCAACAGGCAGCTTCAACAGTCCTCCTTTAATGTGGTTGTGGCGAAAACACAAAACCCAGCCAAAATCAAACACCACGCCACACACACGATCCCGCCTGCCACCCGGCAGGTTCAGGAGATGAGAGTCCAACGCCTGCTCCTCGCCCAGCTGCCCCAACGCACGGACAAGGCGTTCTGCAGCCTTGATTTATTCTGCCTCCTCCAGTGCTTGACGTAGCAGAGAAAATTTTCCATGTCTCAGCTGAAGGATGTTTTCCCTACCAAGAGAAATTCCCAAATCAGATCCCCAGGGCACCCCGTTGGCCTGGAACAAAAAGCATCGGCTCCCACAAGCCTGAAGGGCAGGAGAGAACCAGTACAGCCCAGCAGTGTGTGGGGCTCTGCACTGGTTGTCGGGGTCTTTGGGGGCAGAGACCCTTCTCAGGTGGGTGCCTGCGTGCACGGCAGGGGAATTTAGGGCTTCTGGGCTGTTCTCAGTAGGATAACAGGCAGGTGAGCACAGCCTGGGAAGGGGAGGACGACTAAATGCTGAACCCGAGGGTGAGCCCTGTGCTCCTGGAGAGGGTCACGTCCCAGAAAAATGTAGGACATCCCCTTCCTTCCCAGCTTGTGCTCAGCACCTGCCACCTCGGGGCATCCCAGACTTTTCTTTCTGCGGGCATCTGCTAGAGCAGGAAACCCGGCTCCGCTCACCCCGGAGGGCACAGCAGCCTTCCCGCAGCACGGACTGGCCTCCCTGTGTGCTCACCCTGCTGCAGCCCAGGAACCAGGCTGGAGTTACACATCGCCTGGAGAAGGTGGTCTACCCTCTGCCCCCCAGGGAAGGCAGTCCCATCTGACACCCACAGGGCCCGACGGAGCGGGGACCGCTGTCACCCCCACCCGGGTTAAGGTGCGAAGCCCAGCTGGGACATCAGAGGTGCAGGGAGAAGTGGTGGGGGTGGACGACACCATAAACCGGGCAGATGAATTAATGATTGCAAAAAAGGAGGAAACAATTTAGCAAAGGGTATAGAAAACTTTATTGTGGACGGAGCTACGAAAGAGCTCCATACGTGACTTTGCGATCGGTTCGGCGCGGACAAAGGGTAAGAAAACACACGAGGTGTGCTCAGGGGCTGGAGAGAGTTTACTGATGCCTGCTGCGTGGAGGCACAGCTGGCCTCCGAAAACCCTGGGCCCAGCATGACTGCGGGGTGCAGTTTCCTTGGATGACAGCAGACATGAGGAGAAACAACTGGAAGGACTTTGTCTAACCGGGATCCACCAGTGAGCAGACGCCCTGGTCTCTGCAGGCAAGCAGTGCCATGCCTGCTGGCCCGCAAGGGATGGGCCCACACTGGTACCACTGGCCACAGCAGCGGGGAGAGCCGCAAGGAGCGTGACCACAGGCCAGCCCTTCCTGCATATTGAGACGTAATGACTTCAACAGGAGACTTCACTTTTGCTGATCGATGGCTCGTGTAATTCGGTGAAGAGTCAAGGCTCCTCATTCCAGCTCTTTCAGGAGTCAAAAATCAGACAACAGAGAAGGATGGTAAGACAGCCCTTTAAAGAAGCGGGGGGTCAGTGATTCTACCTACGCTGCCCTGCCAGAATTTCCCCAGGATTGTCCCAGAGAGTGCTCAGCCTGGACGGTCCTGGCTCTGAGCCACACTTACCCCATAAACCCTTCAGCAAAGGGAGGGATCCCCTGCTCCAGCTTCATCTCTGCAAGGATCATGTGTTTCCAGGAGCAGCCACAGCACTTCTTGAAGGCAAGCACCGCTTGACGTGTCCGCTGCACGAGCCCCAGACAGCAGGGTGCTGGCCAGGTGATAGTGCTGGGCTGGTTCCTGAGGGAGCTGGGCCAGCTGACAGCATTCAGGGGTGCTCCTGGAATGGATTGAGTCTTTCAACATATGGCGGGCACCTTCCTGTCTCTCTCTGCTGAAGTGAGCTCTCCAGAAGGAAATCCATCTGGAGCTAAAGCTCCAGGGGGAACGGACTTTGTGTGGACCTCAGAGCGGTGCAGAAGCCAGCCTGAGTGCTGGGAAGGCAGGCAACAGCACCCTGCTTTGTCCTGTCCATCCCGAACCTGCACCCCCTGTAGTCTGGAGAAAGGGTCAGTTGTGGTTTCCATGCATCAAAGTATTTGGTAGGGTGATAAAGACCTCCCGGGCTTCCTCTTCTCTGCTGGTGCACACCAGCAGCGTGCAGCATCAGGGGCCTGTCCTGAAATGGTGCAACCGGCCAAGCCAGCTGTCAAGTGACAACTCGTGTCAGGCACGTCCGTGCCCGTGGCAAGGCCCAGCAGGATGTGTGCGTAGCTGCTATCCCAGGCTCCGAGGTTAGCTGGCTGCTAGGCAGATCTGAGTTTGCTGGCAGCCCCGGCCTCAGCGCTCAGCCAGGAATTTGGAACAGGGCACGCTGCCTGGGGAAGCCAAGAGGGCAGGGCAAGGCGAGGCGCAGTAGCACGGCAGCCCAGACAGCTCTCTGCTTCTCAGCACCAGCACAGGGTTCTGTGATTCGAGGCAGTGGCTACGTGCCCCGGTGTCTGCTGCAGGATTTTTCTGTATTCAGAGACTCCAGGCTTGGCTGTGGACTAATGTGGGTCTGGCAACCCAAGCGATGGAAAGGTTTCAGGACCTGCTGTATCGCAGAGCTCCCGAGGAGAAAGCTGCACTGTGGGGCACCCCGGGCAGCTGGGAAAAAGGAGCAGGTCACACTGTGCTGCCTTACAGAGTACGTGCTGGTGGTGGACTTGGCTTGAGGACGCATGGTGGAAAGTGGCACAGGGACAGGGCGAGCCTGAGGTTACGCCCCGACCACCTGCTGAAGCCCCTGGGCATGATCCAAAGGCTGACACGGTGTAGGCAGATGGGAAATTTAGCTTTCGGGGTGCAGGGAACAGCTGAGATGCAGCCTTGTTCTTCCCCACGCACTCCCCCAGGATGTTACCGCAGCACTGGCGTGCAGAGGGCCAGGAGGGCCCGGCCTTTTCCTACGGAAAGCACTCGAGTTCTCTGTAGCAACGCGCTCACCTCGGGTTCGCCACCTTGCTGCCGTTCACCTCTGGCTGGGCAGCACGAAATGTCTCACTGCAGTCTGACGGCGAGCCCGCGGTGCAGGGATGAGTCCCTCAGCACTCTACGGAGAACAGATGCTGCAGTCCTCAACCAGCGGCAGCCCTGGGCACATCCCTGTCAGGGGAGACTGTTCCCCCTTGACGAGGAGAGTGGGAGCGAGCTCAGGAGCACTCCTGGCTTAGGAAGAGGCAGCAGCCAGAAGCAACGATGCAGCAGGGCTTTTACTGCCTCTCAGCTAGTTCTGCTGGAAAGATGGATGGCATCGGGTAGAGGGACGCTGCTGCTGCCTCCGGGGAAAAAGACAAGCCACTGGAGTCAAGATCTTCGAACAGCAACATACAAATAGAAAGAGAACCTCTTGTCCTGTCCCCAAAGGCTATGGCTTTGGAAAGCTGATCACTAGGCCACTGTGGTGTTTGTCCTTATGTCCTTAAAGCATGGAATCGTGTCTGCCCACACGCTGCTTGCTGGTGCATTTTCTGTGGTGTGGCTCGGATGTGCTCACACTGCGCTGGGGCTGAGAGACATGAGGTTCTCCACTGCTCTCACTTACAAACACAGCAGGAATCTTAGAAAAAAGTTCCAGGTCTCGTTCTACACGTCTGTCTTGCTGGCAGCTTTTCCTTTTTACCTTGTGCCCAGAATACAGATTCTTTTTCCTGTCGCCTCTGGGATTGTCTGTGGACAAGGGGTAGTGTTGAGAGTTGCTTGAGTTATTCTCAGGAGACCCACGAAGGGCCGTGCTCCCGAGGCGAGTCTGAGCCACAGGAATCTCATCCATAGACTCGGTGGACTCTGAGTGATAGTCAGCTGGGGGTCCCGCCGCCTGGATGAGGCCGATGCTGCTGGGGGGCACAGCAGCTCTCGGGGGAAAAGCTGGCACTGAGAGATGAAGGTTGTGGGAAGTTGAGGCAGCAGCCGTGGCTGGGAACTCTACAGATGGAAAGAAAGGGAGAAGGAAGCTTAAGGAGAGAGCGAGACAGATCCCTCAGCCCCACAAAAACACCGACAAGCCCAGGAACTCTGATATGGCTGGTCCATTAATGTTAAAGAAAATCATACGTATATTTATGCAGAATTAGATATGAAAATGTACAGAACTCCACACGCGGCAGCATACCAAATCCTGATCATTTTAGAGTATCTCCAAGCATTCAGAAGCACTCATTTTCCCTTCTTAGGCAAGTTAATTTTCTGCCTGTGCTGGGTTTTCATGACACAGTTCATCTCTGTGTGCCAGCAACCAGAAATCCAGGCCAGAGGCAGAGAAGCTGACTGGTGCACTCTCACCTGACTGGGGGTCTGGGAACGAGGGCCAAGGTCTAGCGTGTGTTTTAGATCTGCTGTCCATTGCTGGGGAAGCAGCTTTATGCGCCTTCTTTCTTCTTTTTTTCTGTTGCTGTGAAAGCAAGTGGCCGAAGAGAAGTCACTTCATCAGCCCAAAGTAATGAGACAGACAGGTTTTTTAATTGCTACATCTTTTTAATTTTTAATAACGAGCATTAGGTATGACCGAAGACCAAGAAAATTTTATCGTTTAAGACTGAGTTACCATAAAGCAATGACAGAGAACAGGTATTTAATGAACACACACATTATCTGCATACAGTGATTCTCTGTCTGTAGGTACCTTTAAGCTGTTGTCTCAAACAGCTGGAGGACGTATGAGACACTGGTGGCCAAATGCATTTGCAGAGCCAAACTAGAAGAGGGGGACCAAAAGTCACATAGCACAGGACGTCCCAAGAGAGAGCCAGCTCTTGTCCAAAATACAAGTATAGTTGAAAAGGAATTTTTTTTTTATCACCTAGATGAGAAGACTTTGAATAATAAGCTTGGAGGAAAGGGGGGGAGCACCACCACCTGCCATTTGAGCAAGGGTGGAGAGCATCTGGATGTAGATACACGAATATCAAGAGCACAGAAAACTTGACTGGACAGCTGTTTCATCCACTCAAGCTTCATATCCACACACGCCATCTCTGCCTGGGAAGATCCGTATTTGAACGTATAATTTTGCTCAACAGAAACACACGCGGCTTGTTACATCAGCAAAGTAGCATAGCTGCAGCCACTGAGCTGCACTGGAGCAGCCAGAGCTTGCGTCGCAGCCGCACTACAGCTGAGCTGCGAGCTTGTGAGGGAGGTGCAGACTGTATGTGATGGCGTGCGCCAGCTGAGGCGCGGGAGGATCCCGCGGATGCCGTGACTGCAGAGCCCAGCCTGCGTGTGTACACAGCCTGGGCACGGCGGAGGCAACCACAGCCTGCGCTAGGGTGAGCCCGCGCGCCGCGGCGAACTGTCGGCAGCAGAGGTTATGGCATGTAGCAAGTCTCCCGCTTACCTGAGAAGGGACCGCAAAATGAAGAGAGGGGAGATCAGGAGAGGAACTCGGCTCAGGGTCAGCTTCGTCACCGCGGACGTACAGCTTTGAAAAGCTAAAACACACGGCAGATATACCAGATGCTTCCCTTAGAAAAAGACTCCACCGATGCCTACTTTGCTTTCGCGCATACACATCAGCCTGACCGAAGCATCCCCTGCCTCCCAGCACTCCCAGCAAAACTGCTTCTTCTGCACAACTGTGCAAAATATGAAGGGTTTCCTCTCCCTTCCCCGGGGATATAAGTTAATAGGCAAGGATTAACTAACGAGACAAGGATGTTGTTTTCCCATGTGGGTTTGCCCATGTTAGAAACTTTGCTGTTGTGATTCACATCTTGACAAACTGAAATCATATAACTATAATAAGCTCAGTATAGGAATTACAGGATAAATCAGGCAGCTTTGAACTAATTTTAATACAAAACAGCCTAAACAGAGTATTCTAGGAAAGATATTTTCCCAGGGGAGGGGAGGCAGGTACCTCTGCAGATATTTACCCTCCTGAAACTCAAAGATTTCACCATGTCTTAGTCAAAACATTGGTGCTCCTTATCATTCATTCTTTGATGACAATTTCCCATTCACCATACATGCTGCTGGGAGACTGCTATCTCAGACTTTACTCACCCTTTTCCTGAAGTTACCGTTGAGAATTCCTCTACTTGAATACCGGGGTCTGTATAGCCAGGGTTACCTGAAAAAACGTCTGCTTCCTGACAAAAAAAAAAAAAAAAAAAAAAAAAGAATTAACATTTTCAGACCAATATAGACACAGAGTAGAGAAGAGGGATTTTTCACTACCGAGATGTCTTCCTCCTTTCTCACCCGGATGCCAGACATTTTCTGTCCTTACAGCTAGCACAGCTGAAACTCAACAGGAGTCTGCTGCTTAAGAAGATGGAAAACCAAGATTGAGACAATTAGGAGTCCCTGATTCACTCATTTAGTCCAGCGAGTATTTCGCATGACTCAAAATCAAATCAGAGCACACTTACGGAGAGCAGCTTAATAATTTCTTGGGATCACATTCAAAATATCACTTAAATCCCTCTTTAGTTATACAGCTCAATCATAGGAACCAAGCAGTGAATGCAAAAAACTTCTTTTAAATTCAAAACGGAGGTGAGGAAAATTAAAGCGTGCAACATACATGAAAAAGATAAAGTATCTTCTTCTTGTGTGAATCCTGTTTGGCTAATAGCTGCCATTTTTTAAAAAAAAAAAAAAAAAAGTGATATATTACTCATTTGCCTCAGGTATACATGAGTTCAAAGTAATACTATCCTGAACTTTAAAATTGCATACTTTCACAAACATAAGAAGACTCGATGAATAACTCTCCTAAATCCAAGTGCCTGCACTACAGAAAAGGGCTCCCAGTTCTCCCTCAAAAGGACAGAGTTAAGATGGTCAGAGTACCAAGTGATGCATGAAGCCTCATTGTCAAAAAAGATAAAACTGTGCTCAGGAGAACCTTGACACTACTGTTCAGCTGCTCCTAAACTCGCATAATTAGCAAGACAACTTCCTCTTAAAGATTTTAGTGCACAGTGACTATAAGGACACATATGCATTTTAAAGCAACTTTTAGGTAGTAAAGACAGATTTTCAATGGGATAGGCATTAGCTTCCAAAAAAGCTTAAACAAGCTCATGAAGACCTCTTTGTCTCAGCAGCCTCATCAGCAAACTTGGGAAAATGAGGTCAAAGTTGGACATGCCACAAACAGGTTCCTGAGAGACACAGGGCCTCTGCACTTCAACAAATTCATAAACAATCGACAAAAGAGCAGAACAGTGAGATGAAGTCTGGTGATGATACTCCCTTATGTAAGGCAATAAAAATGAAAGCCAACCGCAAAGAGTTGCAAAAGATTCTTGCAATATTGAATTACAGGGTGATAAAAAGGCACACACAAATCAATACTGCTAGATGTAAAGATGTAAAGCGATGCACGTGGGAAAAGTAGCGTAAACTTCACTATAAAGCAATGGTCTCTGAACCAGAAAAGAATTCATGGAGCTGCACATTCAGTGGCAGCCAAGAAATCATTTCAGCTGATAGGAATGAAAAGGAAAGGCAAAAAAAGAGAAGAGAAAAAAGAGTTTCATATTACTGAATAAATTAATCGGCAGCCTGGACACTGGATCCTCTATAGTGTTCAAGCATCTTCCCCCACAGAAGACCTGGAAGAAGGTACAGAGAAGCGACAGGACCGATGAAAGGCACGGAGCAGCTTCTGTACACGAAAGAGCTAACAGGCCAGGGCTCTTCAGTCATGAGAGGAAATAATCAGGGCAGATATGAGTGGAGAAAGCAAATGGGGAATAATTGTTTACCATCTCTCTAACACAACATTTAGGGAGCATCAAATGAAAAAAAAATCAGGTAGTAGTCTGAAAAGAAACAGAGGAAAGGCTGCATTTTTGACACAGCATGGAAATAAGCTGTAGCGCGCTCTACCATAGGATGCTGCAGGTGCTAAATGTTACACCGACTCATGAAGAAATGAGAAAAGTTTGTGTGAGAGACCAGCAAATACAAAGCCATTCGAAGCTCTGTGCTCCAGAAGCCCCTGACACATGTTGCTGAGCGCTGGAGGGGAGGGTGGTGTTACTGGGAAGTACAATTCCCGCACTCTTTCTCAGCATCCACAACTGGCCAGTGTCAGAGCCAGCACACTGGCCTGATCAACTTTGGCCAACCCTCTTTACACCCCAGAAGAGACACTTCCAAAATTACAAGCAGCTTTTGAACATCTTGGCATCAACGTTCAGAGTCTCAGAACTCGTGTGGTTGTTAGATAAGAGAGCTGCCAAACTGGAAAGATTTCAGGACTGTTGCGTTTTGTAACATGCTCTGAGTTTAACTGGTCTTGTAAAGGAAAAAAAGAGGTTGAGAGGAATCTGCAGGTGGTAACATAAAATTCAGAGGGAATTGGTTTAGCAATCCTAAACATTAGAACTTTCTGACTTGAGAATTATGCTGTTGGGGCTTTTATAGACAGGGTTTATCCAAGCGCAGGATTAATAACCTCCAGAAACTGACCCTGCGTATTTCAAATGGAACTTGTAACTGAAATCAGATCATTGCTCATCATCGACTGAACACCAAATGTACATAAATGTTTCCTCAAATCTCCTTGGGGACAAAATGCTTAACATTTACATTCAAGCCTCATGCACCTGAGTCACAAACGAAGGAGACCAGACACAACCTCGTGTCACTGCAAACGTACGGGTGGGCAGTCTTTTCAGAGGAAAGCACGCCGTGGCTGAAATGAGCTGCAGCAGGAGGCATCCTCGTAAGACTGTGCAGAGTATCTGAAAACTATCAGGATTCAATGTCTGGACAGGACTGCAGGACTGGCATTTCAAAGGAGATTAATAAATGATTTATCTTGAGAATAACATGAACAACTCCTTCCCAAGCAGGGAACAAAAGAGCTTTTTAAAATCCATTTTGTTCATTTCAGTCTTCTATAAATAATGTATAACCAAAGCAACCACGTAAAAGAAAGTAAATCGTTAGAGCTGACTAGTAGAAACAAATAGAAGAACACTCTATCAGTAGAAAATACAACGTTCTCTGGGTGTGACAAGAACTACAACCACCCTGCAGAGTCCCAGCCTCCCTCCACGCCCCCAGTGGTTAGCAGGACAGCCAGCATCGCTCAACTGAAACAGCGAGGTGAAGCCACCCTTTGCAGTTGGGTTGTGAGGACTCAGCTCTTACTCTTGCTGAAAACGGACTGCTCAGTCGACAGCCCGCCCAAGTTCACTGCCACCTTGCAAAGCCTGGCCATGCTCAGACCTCCTCTGGAAGCTGCAAACCAGCTGTGTCCACCCCGAGTTCCACGGTTACAACCTCAGGGTGAATTCAGCTTCCCTGCCCGCTGCAGGTGCTCTTAGCACCCACTTGCTGTGTGACAGCAAGTACCCTGAAATGCTGCCTGGCTGGAGGGGAGGCAGAACTGAACAGGAAAAAATGGTTCTTGTCCCAGGGAAAGTGGGTGCATTGCAAGTGTTGAAGCTGAGAGTGAAGACCAGGTCCTTCTTAACCAGACATTGGAAGAGAGAAGCAATATTGAAAATGTGAGGGAAGCAGAGTAAAATCCATTTTTATTATTTAAAAATCAAACCTCACCAACGTGATTCAGTGTCCAAAACAAGTTCAAAGCTTTAGGAACGTGAAAAAGATCACATCACAGCTGGCCTCACTATGAAAGCCAGCTTCCTGGTATGAATGCAATTATGGATGAAAGCATCATTCTTGGTTTAGTTTATGTTTCTTTGGACTGCTATGCAACCGCCTACAGAAAAAACTGTTACTTCCACATGCTGCTTTGGGTATAGTAATAGAGGCAAAGGCTGTATATGTCTAACTGGTTTGCATTTTTTGTGCCATCTGAACCACTTAAGTGTGCAAAATTAGGCCTTTTACTTCGTGCATGTTCCGAGAAGGATTTTACAAGCACATGAGAATCCTTTAACCCGAACAAGAATCCTTTAACCTGAACACAGCTGAAGACTTAACCACAGACAAACATGGAAAACTGAAGCCAAAACCAATACCCAAGCATGAATAAGGCTCAAAACCAAGGGTTGAAGGGGAAATGCATGTTTCTTCTTACTCCCTAAAATGAATGAACACTTAAGACAAAAGTGGGAATAGGATGATTTCCATTTTATGCTTGCAACATCTTGGATCCATTACAAAGGATTTCTGTGTTCATTCTAGAGAAGGCTGTAGTCAACCCAGCTTACAAAAGGCAAGTCACTTTGTGTACTCCTACTCCAATCTATTTGTTTGTGTTTATCTCTGGTTGCTATGTAAGAAACAAGGAAAATCTGCTGGGTTAACATTTTTCTTAACAATGTTACTGGGCATCATCCAGTCTTTCTTGTTCCCCAAGGTACTAACTGGAGTCCTGAAATACAGAACTCCTTTTCACCCTGCTTCTTCAAATTAACCATATTGACACATATCTAGGTAAGCACCAGCGCAGACAGGAGAACATCACTGAATGGCTACATCTCAAACGTGCGCACGCACAGAGCCCACCCCTGTTCAAATATATTTTTGGTATCGATCAAAATTCAATAACTAGGGTATGATTAGAGCTAATGCTTTATTATTGTTTTACTTTTCATAGTAAGCAAAGCTCTGTGAGACGAAGTGCCAAATATTTTTGTTGTTATGGAAACCTCTGTTTAAACTGAAAGTTCAACTTTTCCAGGACAGTAACAAATATACATATGACAAGCTGGGGTCTCCATATGATACGGAACGGAATTAGCTCACTTTCCCCTTTGCTTTGATAGGTAAAAACTATGAATGGGTTCAGAAAGATCCCTGTTTCTCTACACAGAATACCTGGACAAAGCTTGGATTTAATTAATTTCTTATGAAATATAAAACTGGTTGTATAGTAGGTGAATTACTTGCATGAAACTAAAACTTACATAGGATTGCAGAATTGCAGAATAATTTAGACTGAGAAGAATTTCTGGAAGTTTCTAGTCCCACCCCCTGTTAAAGCCAGAACAGAATTTGTCCAGTCAAATTTTGCGTAACTCCAGGGATAGAGCTTCCCTGCAGCAAAATAAATTACACTGAACCTCTCAATTAATAGAGGAATATATGTGCCACTTCTGAGTGTAACAGCATTAAAGAGCTTGTAGAGCTCTTTTTACAGAGATACAGCTCAACATCACAGTAATCAGAAGGACCCTTATCACTGTGCAGATTCAATTCAAAGAAAAGCAGATATCTAGGTCATTTCTGAACACGATTGGTGTCCTTTTCCTTTTCAAAACGACTAAACTATTTGGTATTATTAGCTGCTCGATGATTAGCCCCAGCTTCTCCAGCCTTAGAGCCTGTCTCACTTTCAGTCGTGACCGGCGACACCGCTCACATAAGCCAGCCAGACGTGCACGGCCACCAAAACAGATGGCCCTGTCCTTTCCAGTGACAGGACCCTGCCCTCTCTTCAGTCATCCTCGTTCGTGCTGACACAGGCATTTATGTGACTGCTTGGTGAACCAAATGGGAGGGAACTGGGCCAGCTAAACACGAGTTCAACTATTTTTTTTAATAACGTTTATTCTTACCCAGATGAGTTCCCCCACCCTGTTCACTGCATGACTATAGCAAACAGCTGTGCTGGCAGAAGAGAATAGATAGTGCAGGGCCCAAAACAAGTGGTGGAGAGGGAGATTGGGTGGGATTGACTCCTTTGAAAGCAGTACTCACTTATGCCTATGTACATCACTTATGCTTACATTCATCAGATTACAGGCCTTACACTCTCTCACGTCCTATTCAACTCCACCAAAGTACAAAGAAAGTCATCTTTAGCAACTGCCTCTAAAATTTGGAGCTCACAGAAGTGAAGCAAACTTTACACTGCAGACCAGCGAGGCCGTTTTTGAGAAATGGACTGAAAGTATGAGTACCTGACTGGGTCTCACTTGGGAGGGACATGACTCCAGCTGCTTGTCTACCTCTTTCGCCTCTTGCTGGGGTCGCTGCTGCAGGATGTACTCATACGTAGTCAGTTTGTTCCACACTGGGAGAAAAGAGAGCGAGCTGTCAGTGCAGAAAAGGCCACTCCCTGATTACACTTATACAAATAGACTGAATAACTATACAATCAACGAGTAACTATTAATATGAAAAAACTGATACTCTGAGCCAAAAGTACCTTTGCACTGTACAGCTTACTAAATCCTTTATTGTAATTATCACGACACTTACTCTTAGTCCCACTACTCTTCTAAAGTCTCATATACATGGTATAGCCTTCAATACTGCAGTAATTTGTTCACCTCATCTCAGAGCAAATCCATGATTCATACCCAGTAAGGGTAAGATCTGTATTGTACAGAAAACTCAGTGAGTAGTCAGAAGGTATGTGATGCTAAATGAAGAAAAGAAATTCAGCAGCTCGGTGTGTCCCATAGAGGAGATTGAGACATTTAACATCCAAAACAGTGAGCATCAAATGCACAGCTTGCCTCGTGCCAAACAGATGTGCCCAGAGTTTACATGTGCCTGAGTTTATGTGCTTATAAAGCCCTCCACACAAACACATTGCTCCCATGAATGACCAAAAGCATGTGACATTTCTGAGCAGCTTGGTTTCTTCAAAATGTCACGAGGATCCAAAACTCAGACATTTCTCCCCTAGTGATCCTGTTATGGTAGGTATTTTTAGAGCGCAAAACCCAGATATGGATGCTGAAGGTTTTTAGTGCACAGCCTGGTAGTCATTCTTCCTTTTTACAGAAGCATAGTGGTTAAAGCAGATGCCTAGGATGTGGGACATCCAGACTAAAGTCCTTCCTCTGCCTGAAGACATTCGTACCAGTAATACCTCACCTCTCAAAGCCATGCCCTAAACACAGGACTACTTCACAGGGGAGTGGGAGAGAGTAGAGGAGAAAGTGCCCCTCCTGCTAAAGCAATGACCTTATGAAGAAATAAGAATCCAAGATCCATTTGGCCAGGAAGACAGAGCATAAAAATGAATACAAGTCTGCAGCCAAGTGATCAGTGAATGCACTTAACAGGGACAGTGCAGGCTGCTGGCAAATGCTCCTAGAATGGTACTGTAGGCTTTGAGAAACAGAACGTTGCTTCATAAGCAAAGGCCTATGAACCATTTTTAATTTAGAATTTGTTTGTTTCTGAATACTTAACAGTGTAACTTTTAAAATATTTCAACAGAGCTATTTAGCTAAAAAATACTGCATTTGTCTGGCCAGATAACACTGCAGCATATATTGTACAATACAGAATCATAGCCTGTGAAGAGCCCTGTACCCTTTCCCATATTCCCTACTATTTTTTTCTTTTTATTCTGCTTACTATTGGCCTCTCAGTATTGAAGAAAAGAAAGTATCCTCCTTCCAAATTTCTGAAGTGTCACCCTTCACTGAATGCTTCTAGATCCGAGTCTCAATCAAGACTGGTCATTTTGAACACACGGACCTACTGTTTTGAGAATAACCTACTCCCTTCCTTTTGATTGATAGCAGTGAGTAATTAAAATCAGGACAGTAATTCTGAAAATCTCACTGTGCTTGTAACAAAACTAGATTCTAAAAAGTTCATAGCCATACCTGACTTAAGCCAGGTTTTTTATGTGAAGCTTAAAGGCAATATCACTCCCAGGGATGCTATTCGTTTTCTGTAATTTAATTATTTAAATAAATAAATAAATAATGTTATGAAGAAATACTCATAAACAACAATTATGTTTTAACTGGTAAACTGTATTGCTAGTTTGTTCCAACACTGTCTACCTTAAAGCATTCAGATTAGATTATTGACAAATACAGGCATGAAATAAGAGGAATTTAAAGCAGACAAACTTTGTCTGTCTCCCTGAATCCCAGTTGTAAGTGTAATGCATGCTCATATGTAACATGCAATATAGGCTTCAATAATGTCACATTGCTCCTTTTAAGCAAGGACTTACACACCACGCTACTGCATAGCTGGAACCAGTTTCAATAGAGTAGCAGATTTTAATGTAATAAAATGTTAACAAAAATTAACATTAATTAAATTCTGTTTCCATATAAGACATATAGATTTAAAAGTGGACCGGAAATAAAAGTTAGCTTGGCTCAAAATTCATTCTGAAAGAGGAAAAAAAAAAAAATTAAGCCCAAGACAACAGCAACAAAAAATCCCCCCAAACCCAGAATAGAACTAGTGCAACACATGCACGTTTCTGTTTGACAAGAGAAAGCATGTCTCTATCCCAAGGAGGGAGCACCCTCTCGTGGAAACCGTACACAAAGACAGGATAAATACCACTCAGTACTAAACCAAATAATCCTTTCTTTTTCATCCAAAAGAAATCTTCTGGGAGAAGCCCCAGGTTTGTTATGCTTTTAGTCTTTCTACAGTGCTAGATCAACCTTTGAAATCTCCAGGCATTGCCATTAACCCAGCAAAATCAACTTTCAATTCCACTAAAGCAAGCAAAAGTGCAGTGTGACCCAATTTAAGATAAGCTCAAAGAGGCTGTAAAAGGCAGACGATGGTCAATGACCTCACTGGCTGTAACATTAGTGCCAGCTGAGGAACACTCACCCATCAAATGCTACACTTCAGCAATGCAACTATCTTGCTTCTGGAGCTGCAGGGGTTTGAGCTGACCTAGTTTGTGTTGGCACCTGCATCGCTGTTAACTGACAGCCTAAAAATCCATCCAAGGATCCTCTGTAGCCACTGTCCTCATTTCTCTTCCACCACATCCCTTCTTCCATAGTTTTGGCACCACTGACTACTGCAAGTGTATCTCTTTCTCATCGTGACTTACGTCAGGCAGCCAAATAGCATTGGCTCCATTTTAAACGATGGCTGAAAAAAGGTTTTTGATGCCCATCTGTACATAAACAAGCATAAAAAGCCCTTCTTGACAGAGCAACAAGTAGGACCCTTTCTGAAAACCTCTTCCTCTGAATCCCACAAGTCCTTCTGTGCCAATACGGTACAACTTCCATAAAGGGACTTTGACCTGGACGTCAAGCCTCCTGTTAGAAATTTAGAATCAGTAATTAGAAATTCAGATCAGCATCGTCCACATTTCTCTAGGGTAATGGAGAAATAGCCTCTCTCACACGACAGAAGTACTGGGAGCACAGTGAAGAGACTCAGAAAAGCCCGTATGAGGACCCAAACTGACCCTACCATCGTTGGCACTGAGCTGGAATTAACCAGTTCATCCTACCTGGCCTCCCTACTACTCTCCCACGTGCTTTCAGCTCCCGGATAATGTAGCTTAGACACATGAATGCACGGGTCCAACGCAAGCCCCGTATTGCACCTGCACTGATAAGCCTAGTGCCTATTTGGTACTGAGGGAAAATCAGAAGTATAATGTCAAACTCAGATTTTCTACACTTTCAATAGCAATCTTGCACAATGTGTGCATAGCTGCGGCATGGGTGAACACACAGTGAATGCAGAGTGAGCAGAAGCCGCTAAGCGAAAATGAAATGGAGATGCAGATGACTGGAACATAATACCTACTGAGATAGATGTGAAAGGTCAGGAGGTGGCCTAACAGGATCACAGTCATTAGGCTTAGAAGAATAAAAATCCCAGCTGTGGCCAAAATGGCAGATGCCTGAGTCTCAACAGGAGCTGCAGGAAGAAACACAAACCAGCGGTCCGTGTGGTTCTTCAGAGCTGTAAAACAAAAGGAGTTGGAGGTAAGTGGATTGTCCAGCTATTAAATATTTCTAACTAAACTTTACAGCTGGAAATATCGTTAACTCAAAAGTAGTTGCAGACCCATTATGCACTAGAGGCCTAAGAAATCTTGTGTCTGCAAGGCATTTAGGAAGAGCAGTTAGCTCTGTAAGAAAAGACATTCTGTTCAGCTGAGCAGAGATACCCTTGCAGAAATACAAAACTGAAGGAGTAAGGAATGGAGTTCCTCCTCAGTGGGAAAGCCCACGGAATCCAATCCCACATTGAGATATGCTGGCTGATTCACAGGGTGCTCGACTGAAGCACTGCTAGTACCATCAAAGTGCTGGTCGGAGCGAAGCATCACGGGGTCAACGAAGAACTCCACAAAGACGTAGCAAGCGATGAGCAGCAGAAGCCCAAGGCCCAGAATGGCAGACAGCACGCTATTCAAAAAGAGCCTGCCAAGAAGGAGAGAAGTCTGAGTGGCTGCAGTGACATAGTACATAAAATTCAAAATCCCAACCCCTAATAAAGATGGAGATACAGAGAGCTATCCCAAATTACTCTGACACTTTCTTGCGCTTATGATAGATACTGGTTAAGTCTTACTTCTGATAGGTTACCCTGAGGGACTAAACTGTGACTGTTCAGAGCAACTGTGATTACCAAACAGCCAAGTGTATCTAGGACAGCCAAAGCTCCCTGCACAAAATTTGAAGGCAGTATAACTTGGCACCCAGCAGTAACAACTCTCTGCTTTCCATATGATTTTCATGCAGGAAAGTAAACTGAGAAGCAATAGTCACTGATAGCCTCTTCCTTCTTTATCTTAAACCTGGCAAAGATCAGAGGTACCTATGCTATGCTGCTGTAACTCCTGCCAATTGGCAAGTCTCGTAGGGAAAGCAGGCAATCTGGACGCAGGTTGTTTCAGAGACAGGCACAGTCAGGTTCTATTCCCACTCCAGCTCGCAGAAGCATTAAGGACACCCAATTAACATCTCATAAGCTCTTCCTAATACCAAATAATAAGATTATGTTCTCTGTTTTCACTCATAGATGTTCGGCTACAAAATTCTAAGTGTAGGAGTTTTATCCCTCGTTATCTGAATGTCATAATCATGCTTGCATTTTCCATCTAGTTTTCTCATGACTGATTTTGTTGAGCCAGTGTCTGAAATAAAAGTGGTTCTGCGTGGCTGAGTACAGACTGGACTGAGATGCAAGAGAATCTTGGGAAGAGAAGGAGTAACATTACTGATGCAGTGTTGTGCTCCTGTCACAATGCCAGGCTCTTACCAGTAATTCCTCTCTCCCACACAGTTGTTGAGCCATTTGCAGTGGTGATCAAAGCCACATACACACTTGTTGCAAGTTCCACAGTGCTTTGACTTGGCACTCCTGCCAAACAAAGGGTGGCGTTAGCGTGGCAGCACCAGCTCATTACCACGACCTTCCAGTGACACGAATCCAGGGTGATACATCAGTAGAGATCCTGGTAATAGTGAGAAAACCTTCTACACCAGAAATACTGGCCATATCAGCCATCGCTGGACCACAATCCCAAACACGGAAAAATTTGCCTTCTGATCCACTGCATGATATCTAATTTGGAGATCACCGATTTCTTATTTGAAACCCTTGAGCAGTTCTAGAAAGCTGGATCTTAATGTCTGCCCTCCAAGCATTTCCAGCTACTGTATTAGCATCTTGCCAGATACAAGCACACACAGACAAGTTGCACATTGTTAGGCCAAACACCAACATCCAGATAACACGGAACAGCACAGTCCTTTCCACACAAGGTGTGAGCAATTAAATAAAACACAGACCCACGCACGTGTCTGACAGCAGGCGCCTACCCAACTAACTGAACCCTGCCACAGGAGGAAGCTTAACTTGAGCTTCAGGGGCTCAATGTCAACCTTACAGTCTAACATTAAAGACTAACGGTGAAGTGTAACGGTGAAGGAGACACAGTAGTAGAAGGAAAAGAGAAGATACTTACACATCTACATCACAGACATGGCAATGATGGTTTTCAATGACATGCGCATGTTGACTACGATTGAAGGTGGCCAGAGGCCCTAGATAGTTTTTTTCTCGCACATTTGCATCCGCAGGATCAATGGAGACTGCAGTAAGATGAACAACTAAATGGTAGATAAAACACACTCCTGGACACTGAAGTACACAGTTAAGGATTGTATGAGTGATTTAATGCAAATATTTTTAGCCTTAATACACAAAGCCCACACAGATGAGAAATATATGGCTTAGAATTAGAAGTTACTATATAACTGATTGCAGCACATGAATGTGAACTTTATTAACAGAGACGTTTGCAGTGTAATAAATATCCTCTGGAGAAAAGATAACTAAATCTACAGGAACAACCCTCCTTACTATGTACTACTCTGCCTCACAGAAATGTCCTTCCTAGCACAGGAGTTTTTAAAAATTACCTTTACTTACCAGAATCTGACCCCACATGCAGACTGTTGACATAGGTCCACGTTTCTTAGTCCATACAGACTCCTTGGAAAGGAACAGTCAGTAAAGGCTGTGCACATGCCCCTTCACAAGACCAAACTTCCAAGAAAAAAAAAAAAAAAAAAATCACATCAAGGAACTAGTACTGATCACCTTGCTTTCCCTTTCTTTAGTCAGAATCCCAAGGAAGAGGATCACCCTTTTAAAGTAGGCTCCTGCACAATTTACAGACAGACAGGATCCAGGACTTGTCATTGTTTCTTGAAATTGTATGTTTAGATTCTTACTTCTAAAGGCAGTGGCAAGTCAGAGCAAACAGGGTTTAGCAATACTTCTGATCAGACACTTGAAGTAAGTGCCGATATTTGGAAAGAATATACAAATATGTAAGAATATACAAATACAAAGCAGCAACCCTGCTCGCCCAGAGTACCGCTGAGCTCAAGAGTTTGCTTCTCAATATACTGCAACTCAGTGAGCATGCAGACAAAAATTAACCTTCCGGTTTATTTGTTATACACGCAGATGTGCACACCATTGATCATACTAAGGCCTACGGAAAACAGAGCAGTGTATTAAGTTAAAAAAGGAGGTCTAGCTGACTGGAGCTCTGATTACTGGCGTAGCAGAATGTCAAGGGATTTGCCTTTGACACAAAGGAGACATTAGTGCTTTATTAACCGGTAGTAAAACTTTGGGATACATTAACCTGTTGAATGAGAGTGACTTTAGATTGAGTTATGAAGATTCTTGGTAGACAAATTCACAAAGTTTGAACCATGATAATACCATGGATTTGGGCAAGATAAGTAGATGTAAGACTACTGGCATATTTTAGGCATATTAAATGCCTAAATCACCCAGGTGTAACTAAAACAATGATAAGCAAAAGCATCCCAAACATATCAAAGGCTCCATGGACATACATAAATCAGACGTATAAATGATGTAAGTGCATATCCCACCTCTCCAGAACTATTCCTAAGATTCTCTCTGTAATGTTTCTTGGTTATCTAGTTCTGCTAAGAAGGCACTAAGTGGCACTGAGCCACTTAGTCCATTTTATTTTCACCAAGAAGATGCTACCAGAGAGACGACAAAAGCAAACACTTGCTCACAAATTATAAACCCTCAACAGCTTGTGAAGTATTGAATTCAGATCTCAGGATACCCCCTTCCAGTCTGACATTCCCCAGACAATCTAGTCCACCAGGAGCCAGGACCTGGCCTTGAAGAAGTTCCTTCTCTGGCCCCAGGGGACAGTACAAGCTGGCACTGCGAGCACTGGGATCGCTCCCCAGCACAGCCCATCTCTAGTCCCTCTCCTTCCAGGAACAGCAAGAGTGCACAGCTCTAGGGAGGTGGGTTGAGGACAGGAAGTGGAAAACACATTGGGCTGGGCTGAGCTGGGCTTTGGTGGGCAGCACACAAGACAAGACGCCTTCACAGCATAAACACCTCTTCTTCTGATACTGCCCACATTTAGAGGACAGTTAGATGTGTAATAAACTGCAGCACAAGGCTGTCCCACGACAGACCTCCCTCCTCTAAGGTTCACACTACACCACTGTTGCCCAACGTGGGGCAGAGGGCTGCCGACCAGGCTCAAACCATGACAGCCACCTTGTCTTTCACTCACAGGTTTTCTACAGAGGATAAGGGAGGGCCCGGGGAGAAGATCACCTGCCAGCTATCACAAGCGACCACACCATATAATCATAAACATTTAAAGCTGCCTTTTAAGACTCATTCAGTCAGCACAGGGAGGTGCCGCTGCCCATCACGGGAAGGATGTTTCAGGAGGGGCTTTTTTAGCACAACTTCCCTCAAAACCTGCAGCACACTTGTAGAATAATAATATAAAGCAAAGGAGATGCCTAGGCAGAAGTAGACAGCAGAAGAGACTCGGAGGCAAAGATAGTAACCTTAACAGAGAGTGATGAAGGAGACAAGCAGAATGTTAGTGACCTACCTAAAGTTGAAGACCAGATAGGATCTCAAAATAACTGGTTTTTATAGACAGGAGAAGATCAAGATTATGGTTATAGTTCAGAAAAAGATTCTGGCTCAGCTGCTTTCTCCTGTGCTTTCTATGCTACCTAACAACTACTTTAAAAAAATCCCACTGACAGTTTATTACAGTCCATGTTCTCCTCTTGACCAAAGGATACGATATAGCCAGCGGGCAGCCAGTGGCGGGGCAGGAGAGGAACCAGGATTCCAAAGCCAACCAGCGCAAAGAAGAGGTACAGCAACCAGGCAATAATCTGGAAAAGGTGCAGAGGCCAGCTCCAGCCATTCCTTCGAGCACGTTGGACCTGCACCTCAGGAACAGCTTCACCCAAATTCTCTGGAGCTGTCTTATTAGGAGGTTTATTGCAGATATTCATCTACAGAAATCAAAAATGGAAAACAAAAAACATGTAACACAAAAATATTTTGACTGAGCCGCGGTCCTGGAGATACACTCCAAAGTAGACAGAAAGTTGGAGAGACTAAAACAACGACACATCTGAGGAGGGACTTCTCTCTGCAAAGGGGATTTGTGATCGACAGTAACAAAAGGGAAAAAACAATCACGTGCTCTAAAAGCAAGTGCTGTTGTCTGCGTGAAACAACAATATCCCAAACTTTCGGCTATGGGAAACTTGCAAGTTTTGCCAGTTTTTGAATGCATCTAGACCTAACTTGAGTAAAAAGAGCAAAGAGCGTATTTTGGTGGCAGTGCAGAGATGCGAGTATGATACACTGTGGTCTGGGGGTGTGTTCATGCCAGAACACTGTTATGGATGATGGCAGAACAAATACTTTCACCTGTCTCAGATGTGCCTTGTTTTCCTTCCAGCTACTGCAGAGAAGTGTAGTGAGAGTGGGTGGCCCCACTGGAGCACATGGTCTGGAACCGCAGTTTAGCACTACACAGCGTCCAAGAAAACAGAGACTCCTTTGTCAGCAACAAAGGAAGTGGAAAGACTAGAAACTGAAAAAGTGAACTTTAATGACAAAAGGGGGCAAAGAAGCAGGAGTTACTCCACAACACAAGTATAAAGCAGACTGTTGCTAGAAGAACAGAACACAAAGTTATATATGCAGGACATCCATGCAGGGAGCAGCTTGATTATTCAGCTATCCTACAATGTCTGGACTCCTGGCAGGAGAAAGCAAGATTTAACTGCAAAGATGAGTTAGGAACCATAACCTGAAAAATTCCTGATATTTCTGATTCCTGTTTGCACAACAGCTATGAGCTCAGAAGCAATTTTTCCTTTTTTCAATATGTGTTGGACTATTAGTTGCTGCTTTTCGCTTGCCATGGAGCCAGGATGAGCTTTTAACAACAGCAAGCTGGGCTGCTCTGCTTCGCAGAAAACTCAGGTGCAGCAGATACTAGGGAGTACAATACAGGCAGCAGGTCAGGGGTAGCACTGCAAAACCGGCACTAAGAAGCTCTGCTGGACCTTCGCTGACTCAAGGTACCTCTGCACCGTGCCTCACTGTTCCTTAGGAACTAAAGAGGATGTTAAATTAACATCTAACAGGGATAAGCAACTTCGGTTAGTCTGATTAACTTGCACACAAGAGTGGTGAAAGAAAAGAAGGAGGTCTCTAGCTCACTTGCAATATTTTTGATAATGGTTCCAGTACCAGAAAAATGCCGGAGGGCTGGAAGACAGCAAGCCAACGTGCTAAAAGAGCAAGCGGAACAATTCAGATCTTGATACACCGATGGTCCTGCATCAGTCCCAGGAAAAGGGCTGGAAATGTCTTTTGAGGTCAGCTGGTAGAGAAGTAGTGGGTAAGAATACAAAAGAATGTAATTTATGCCCATCAGCCCAGTCGTATCAACAAGCAGGCTGGAAAAAAAAAAAGTAATTCCTGACTTCAGCCTTTGAAGAAATTAGCAGTATCTGCCTGCATACATCGTTTAAACAGCTACATGGCAACTGGCTCACAAACTATGAGAAATAGTTACTAACCATGTGACAGTTTTCTCATTAGGTTGTTGAAAACTTGCTTGCGCATCACTCTGAGCCACCTGTTACAAAACCCACTCAGATTATTTGACGATATTCCCAGGTGTCTCCTTTTGCCTAATCAGATCCTGGCCAGGGGAGCCGGGCCCACCCAGTCCCTGAAATCCCTGTTTTGCTACAAGATTGTGCTGTTTTATAACACCAGATGGTTTTAACATTATGTTATCCAATGTCAGAAAGTTTGGTATGACCAGACAAGATTTTTTTACGCGGTGAAAGCCAACATAAGCTACCTCCTGGCTGAACCATCCCTAAGGCCCACAGCAGCGTCTGGTAACAGCCTCTCGAGAAGGAAGCAAGCGGCGTGTAACGCTTCGTCTGCCCCAATTCAGAAGCGAAGTTCCTCTTGCCTTTCCCTTGCAACTCGATGGCTTCTCTTGCAGCTGACGCGCTGATTATCCACCAATACTGATGAAAAGCAAAGCTGTCTGCGAAGAGACTTGGGGGATACAGCACCTCCCCTTCCCAGCGGGGTGCCCTATACTGTGGGCATACCGTACCCAGCTACAGAAAACACCGAATATTAAAAAACGGGGCACACAGTCACCACCAGGGCTCACTCGGTCGCCACAGACTGAGGAGAGGTAACTGCGCTGACGCTGGTTGTTAACCGTACTGGTTAATTAGTTAACTTTAAGTCAGCCGGGAGTTATCAGGCTCACCCCTTCGCTTGTGCAGCCCCGGGCAGCGGGAGGGAGCGCGCCACCAAGCCGCGCTGGGGCACACGGCACCTCCCGGGGCCGGGCGAGCGGTGTCCCGGGCAGCCCCCTCCCGCGGCTCCGCCACCGCCCTTTCCTCACCTTCTCCCCGCAGAGGCGGTTGGAAGAGGCCCCGTTACCGGCCTCATGCCCGGGCGGGTAGCGGGGCCCCCCCCGCTGAGGCCGCTGCGGCAGCTCCCGGCGCCTCCGGCGGGCTCAGGCCGCTGGGCCCGTCGCCATGGCAACGGACGGGGCTACGGCGGGGCGCAGGCGACAAAACACCGCCGGGCGCCTGCCGGCCGCTCCGCGGAGCGGGGGGCGGGGGAAGGAGCGGGGCCTCCCGCCACAGGAACCGGGGTGTGGGGGGACCCTCCTCCCACATCGGCCCGGGTGCGGGGCCCCCCCAAACCCGGGGACAGCCTTCTGGGGGGGGGGGGGGACCCCCCGCTTGCCCTTCCTCCCGCGGCTTGAGGCGGCGGCAGGGGTTTTCCAAACTGAGGGCTTGATAACTGGTGGCGCTGGGTGACTGGGATTGGAAAAAGCCTCACCCTCCCTCCGTGTGGCCTTTGGCTGCTAATGGTACCTGCAAACTAAGATTATTAGAACATAGCTATTTGTGGAACAGAATTTTTAAGGCGTTTTAACCATTTAACGGTTGTGCTGCAGAACAAATACTGATCTTTAGAGGAGTAGCTGGAATAACTGTAGGGTAAAGCACTCATAAATAATCTTACTGGAGACGGTTTGGCCTTGTAGTGGCAGGTGCAAAGAAACATAAAGATAAAGAAGCTGCAAATTAACAACAAAACCAGAGGAGGCCAGCCTTGAAGGACAAGATGTACGTGACCACAGGACTGAGTTTGCGCAGAAGTAATGGTCAGCTGGCAGACACGGTGAAGAAGACTACGAGCCTTCATCTGCAGACCCCCGACAACCACCCGAGGACTCCAACTGACATGCACAAAAGACGTTAACGTATGCTAAATGAGTTCCCAGAAAAGTTACGAGTATGATAAAAATGCAATGAATATGTGTGGTTAAGGTAGTATAAATGCTGGTTGATTTCATTCTCACACACACACATGAGGAGGAGCTCTCCCCTGTGTGTCCGGCGCTGTAATAAAGAATTCTTGCTTTCTAAAACTCCAAAATTGAGTCTTGGAGAGTGAATTAATTACCGCTTTCCGGTAGCACTAAGGGAGGTGGTGAATCCTCCTGGGAGTGGGGAAGGCCAGAAAAGTCATGACCCTTTGAAAGGCTGCCTTGGGAGGAGCGGAGGGTGCCTGTGTTTCCCTTTGTCCACCCGAAGCCAGCTGAGGAGTGTTGCTGGTATGGCTGGCTTCATTTTTATGAAAACACCCAAGGTTTTCCAGGTGGCCGGGGCTGGGGGAGGCTCTGGGAGCCGGCGGTGGAAGGACGGGAGGCTGGTTGTGAGCTGCAGCCAGCTGTCCCGCTCCCCAGAACCTATTAGGAAAATTCCCTTCCCTAAAAGATCAACTGATCTTTATAGTAGGACAATGTATTAACTTTGTCAATATATATGTATTAGTTCAGATTATACACTGTGATGTAATGGGGTAGTGGAATTTTACTGGAGACTTTGGTATTGTTTGTGCTTAAGGAAAACAAACTAAAGGACAGCCCAGCCCTGGGAATAAGGACCTTGCTTCATGGAAGCTGAGAGCTGTCCGTGAAGGATAAAGGATACCCCTTTCCAACCGAGATAACGCCAGCATCCCAGCCCCTCTGACATGTCCCAGTGTCATCTGGTGTCATAGATCAGTAACTCCAGCAAGACTGACTGGACGTCTGGATCAAAAGACAAGCAGAAAGAATGCTGGAAAAATCTCACTTTGCAAAGTTTTACCATGATTAGTAATCAGTAATGTGGGTGTTAGTGATTAGTCATGTTGTGCCTGAAGATTTGAAGGGTGTAGGAAACCTGTGCAAAGCCACATTTGGGGTCCCTAGATTGTCTGGGACACCTCATGTGCAGGACTAAATATTTACCCTTGTAATCCTCTACTTTGCATCTCAGCCTCTCTCCTCACTCGGCACAGGCCAGCTGCGGATTTTCGTGACGCAGCACAGCCCAGCCCGCAGCTCTCCTGCCCCCGGGGAAGCTTTTCCCCCTCCTCCAGCAAAGCGGCCGGGCTGAGCCCCGGGAGCTGGCGAGCAGAGCCGGTGGCAGTGCCGGCCGCGGATGCACAAGGAGATCTTTATGAGCCGCCTGCGGTCTGTGCACAGCGACTGCTTTGTGCGAGGGGCACTGGCACGGGCCGGCCAGACGCTCACCTAAGAAGGCTTCTGTGTGCGGAGGGAAGGGTGTCCCGGGAGCAGCATGTCCTTCGCTCGCTGTCCCCAAAGGCCCCCGTCACCTTTTCAACCTCCAGCTGCTGGCGGCTCTCCCTGCGCAGGGCTCTGGCCATGCTGGGGGTGCCAAGGGGTGCCCAGGGAGCGTGGGGGGGCTGCACCTCTTTTGTCCTCGCTGCCCACCCTCCCTCGAGTCGGGAGCAGGGGGGCAGCTCGAGCGCTCGGCGAGCTGTGGAGCTGCAGCTTTGACCGCCCGAGCGCTCGGCTCCTGCCAGAGCTGTTGCAGAGGGAAGTCTGGCCGCGAGGAAGAGCGGCCCCCGGTCGCTATTCCCTGCTCACCCCGTGCCTGGGAGCCCCGCTGTGCTTTCCTGGCACCCGCCGAAGGGGCTGGGGACAAGCCTCGGTGGTGCAGGGCAGCACGTTCAGCCCATCTCCCTGTCCTGTGTGACCCCTGGGAACATTGGTGCTGGGAGAGATGGGGAGACTGTGTGATCCTGGGTGGGGCTTAGCAGCTCTCCTGGCACCCCAGCCTCTGCCAGGGGACCCTGCTGTGACCACAGCCCCCCCCCAGCTCGCCCCAGCAGCCTTGCCCAGGGGGCACGGGGCTGCTCCCACACAGCAGGCATAGAGCAAGGAGGACACCCTTCCTACAGCCACTTTTCTTTTATTAGAGGTTACAAGATACAAGGAGCCAGACCTGCACGCCACGTGCCATCGGCTCGCTCTGCCATGCCCCTCTGTGTGCCGTGCGGGCAGAGAGGAGGGGGGCTGGCAGAGGCTGGTCCAGGCTGGTCCCCCCATTGCCTACAGGGGTTTTCTTGCAGCCTTTGCGACGGGCACCGCTTCTGCTGCGGTGGCTTTGCCCTACCAGCCATGAGCAAGCATTACGGGAGAGGGATGTCTCCAGTGGGAGAAGAACTGGGACCACAGAGCTGAACCCGCTCCATCACTCCCCAGGAGAGACCCAGGAGAGACCCACGCCCACCTCCAAAGCGGATCAAAACTCGTATGGGGACACAAAGGCTGTGACCTTGAAGATGTGCTTGCCCAGGAGGACCTTGCGTGAGAACTCGCTCATCTCCAGGTCCACCTCCAGCGTGGCTGGCCCCGCCACAGGGCTGGTGAGCACCAGCTCTCCCGTTTGCCGGTCGGAGCGCCGCACGGCAAAGTCGCCCTGGCCCCGGCTGCCCATGATGGCAAAGCGCAGGCTGTCGCCCACGAAGCGGGTGGTGGACATCCTGAAGAGGACACGGGGCACACTGCGGTTGGCCTGGAGCGGCAGGTAGTGGAAGGAGATGGAGGTGGCGGCCAGGCGGCAGGCTTGGCTCTCCATGGGGCAGGGGTTCCTCTCGCATTGGCTGCCAGGAGAGAAGGGGTACCACCGCTCAGTGCCGTGGTTTGGCTCTCAGGGAGCGGCCCGCATCCTTGCGAACGAGCCTAGCCCATGCCACAGGCAGCATCCAGCCGCAGTGTAGGTCCTGTGGCAGAGCGACCCAAGGCAGCCACATCCAAGTGTGCGTGGCATCGCATCTCTGTCCCATCCCTGCTTCTGCTGGACAAATGCCAGGCCTTGCAGGGACGCAGCTCCGAGTCACGCTCTGAGGCTGGGGATGGAGCTGGGCTCAGATGTGCCTCCTGCTGAGGAACTTGCCTGGAGCAGGGACCTTCCTCTGCTCGGGTGGCTTCTGCTCGGCCACAAAGCGGTTTAGTCTCAAGACCAGGACCAGGGGGGTTTTGCCTGCTGGGTGGGAGCCGACAGCACTGCATGGATGTGCAGCAGAGGGGAGATGGCGTCATTCCCCGCCAGGCTAGGGGAGTCGTGGATAAAGCCACCACGTATTGGGGTGCTCCCGCCCAAACCCGCAGCCGCCAGCATCCTGAGACACCCAGGCACCCCACAGGGCAGTTGGCTTCCAGCGCTGGCTGGCGCTCTTCCTGCTGCCCCTGGGTGACACGGTATGGTCCCCAAGGCACCGTAGGGCCCATCGGGTGGGGGAGAGAGCGTGATGCAGCCCGAGCCACGCGCGGTACTCACAAAGCAGAGGTCTTGACGTAGCTGGTGTTGTGGCGCGGCGGGGGGCACTTGGGGCGCACGCAGCGGTGGCCCCCGAAGGTGTTGATGCAGAGGTCGCCCTGGGTGCAGTTGTGCTGCTTCCCAGCGCACTCATTCACGTCTGCAGATGGGCGTGGGGTGAGCGGGGCCATCCCCGCTGCTCCCCGCCGCACCCCTGGTCCCAGGGGATGCTCCCTGCCCTGCACCCACCGCCCTTACCCTCGCAGGTGTTGCGGTCAGCGTGGAGCAGGTAGCCGGGGGGGCAGAGGCAGCGGTAGGAGCCGGGGAGGTTGAGGCAGTCATGGAGGCAAAGCCGGGTCTGGGGGCTGGACTGGAAGAGCTGGCACTCGTCCACATCTAGGGGGGACAGAGCGGGGCATGGCCGGGGGTCCTGTAGCCACTGAGCCTCGGTTTCCCCCCCCCCCCCTTCTCTGCCATCTTCACCCCCTTTTTACCGTGGCACACGCCGCCGGCTCGCATCTGGAAGCCGGCGTCGCAGCTGCAGCGCCGGGAACCCGGGCGGCCCTCGGCGCAGCGGGGCTGGCGGCTGAAGGAGGAGTTGCTCAACGTCACCCAGTCTGCGGCGGGAAACGGGTGTCACGGCTGGGGTGGGGGGAACGGGGAAATGGGTGGGGGCTGAGGTCCCCGGGGGGCTGCCAGGGGAAGGGGAGATGGGTGCCGTCCCCCTGAACATCCCCGTCCTCCGCAGCCCAAACCTGGGCACCTACAGGCATAGATGGGGCTCTGGCAGCTGGGGCCTGACCAGCCCCGGGGGCAGAGGCATGTGTAGCTCTGGTTGCCATCCACACAGGTCCCGCTGTTGGCACACGGGTTGCTGGAGCAGTCGTCAATACCTGGGGAGAAGGAGCTCGTGAACACCAGCTGGAGAAGCACATCCTCACCCCATCCTGCTGCCCAGCCTCGGTGCCCATTGCTGCAGCCTCTGGGCTGATGCCCCGGAGCGATGGGACCCCGCGGCTCGGGGTGACGAAGGAGCCCCCGGGCAGGGCTGAGCCCGTGACGCCCCGACCCCGCTTCACTTCACTTCTGCAGGAGGGCTGGGTGCCGCTCCACGTGCGGTCGTGCCGGCAGGCGCGCGTCTCCGAGCCCACCAGCCGAAAGCCGGCGTCGCAGACGAAGTGAACGTCGTGGCCCACCCGCGTGCTCCGGCCCAGCATCCGCCCGTTCGGGGGCACCGCCGGCTGCGGACAGGTCTCTGCGGACAGACAGACAGACAGACGTGGTTGAGGACAGGCTGGAGCCGACCCCAACCCCGGCGAGGAGCTGGGGGTCCCTTGCCCAAGCTGCTCGCCGGAGGTCTGGGGGGCCGAGCTGGCCCCGTGGGGATGTGACGCCCGCAGCGGTGGCCCGGCCGGGGTTACCGTTGCGTTTGGTGGCCTGGCTCTGGAGGCGGCTCTGGAGGAGGGAGAGCTGCTGCCGGAGACCGCGCGTGCCCCGCAGGTGAGCAGCCTCCTGTGCCGCCAGCAGCTTCTGCATCTGCCGCACCGCGCTGAGCGCCTGCTGCTGGCTCACACACTCCTGGGGGGGGGGACACAAGAACATCCCCCCCTCACCTGCTGGGCTCCCCCCCGCCACCTCACCGCAGACCAGAGGGGACCCTCCCAAGGGTTGGGGTTGGTTTGGGTGCCCTGCCCTGGGCGGAGCCCTTTCCTCCCCCATCCTGGTGTGCCCCTGCTTCCAAATCCGCTCCAGCCTGAGCCCCTCTACCCAATCCTGCCTCAGCACTTGGATGCTGAGGAGCAGCTCGGATGCCCCGGGTGGGTTTAGCATCATCTCACTGCTGCAGGAGAAAAGAGAAAAGCCCCTCGGACCATCCCCCCCTGGCCCTGGGCAGCTCCGTGGGCCCCGTGGCCGTGCTGTACCCCGCCGCAGCGCAGTGCCAGGACGCTGGGGTGTGAGAGGTGGGTGCTGAGAAACCCCCCAGTGAAGGGTCTGCAAGGGGGCTGGAGGGGAGGGGGGGGGGGACACACACGAGGGTCCTTACCTGGGTGCCACCGAGGGGCAGCTGCAGGATGCCCAGGGCCAGCCAGGCTGGCAGCAGGACGAGGAGCATCGCGCCGGGGCTGGCTCCGGCCACGCAGGCTGCAGGGACGAGACGCCGGCGGTGCGGTTCTACCCGCCTCGCTCGCAGCTGCGCTCCTGCGCTCGCCGGGATTTATCCGCGGCGCGTGCCCGTGTGTTTGTTGGTTTTTCCCCTGGCTGAGGCCGAGCGGTAGGAAAGTTTCCCCTTGGCACGGGCGCCAGCCTCTCCCTTCCCTCCCCGCACATCAGAGGCTTTGGGGCCTTTCATGTCGCAGGGCCAGCAGATGCTGGGGCCAGGCGGTGGCTGTCACGGCTCTTGCTGCAGTACCGTCGGTTCCGGGCTCCCCTCACGGCTCCCCGGCACGCAGGGGTGCAGGATGAGGCTAATCCCGTGTTTTTGCTAAGCGTGGGAAAGTCTCCCGGGAGAAGGGATGGCGTCGGCATCGGCCCTGGGGTCCGGATCCCCAGTGGGGCTGGGGCTGCTGAGAAGGGCAGCCCGGCAGCACTGTGGACTCGGCACGGCTCTGCTGGGGTGGGCTCAGCTGCAGCTGGAGCTTCGAGGGGGACCCCAGGGCTCTGCTACAGCCTAGAGTTGGGGTGCAGGTTGGCATTACGATCAGCATTAACATCAGGGTTCGGGTTAATGTTAAGGTCCGCATTAGGGTTAGGGTTGAAGTCAGCATCAGGGTTAGGTTAGAGTTAGGATTAGCATTGGGGTTAGGGTTGAGGTTAGAATTAAGGTTAGGGTTGGGGTTAGCATTAGGGTTAGGGTTAGAATTAGGGTTAGGGTTAGAATTAGGGTTAGATTTGAGATTAGAGTTGGGGTTAGCATTAGGGTTGGGGTTAGCATTAGGGTTAGGGTTAGAATTAGGGTTAGATTTGAGATTAGAGTTGGGGTTAGCATTAGGGTTAGGGTTAGAATTAGGGTTAGGGTTAGAATTAGGGTTAGATTTGAGATTAGAGTTGGGGTTAGCATTAGGGTTAGGGTTAGAATTAGGGTTAGATTTGAGATTAGAGTTGGGGTTAGCATTAGACTCACAGTTAGGGCTAAGGTCAGATTTCACGTTTGGGTTAGGCTTATGGTTAGCATTAGGGTTAGGGTTAGAATTAGGGTCAGATTTGGGATTAGAGTTGGGGTTAGCATTAGACTCACAGTTAGGGCTAAGGTCAGGTTTTGTGTTTGGGTTAGGCTTACGGTTAGTGTTAGGACCAGTGCCAAGGGTTCAGGTCCATATGAACAGGAATGTTTGGATGAGGGTTGGGGATTTGGGATTTGGATTAGCATTAGGGCCAGGGTTCAGGCCAGGGTTAGGGTTTAGGCTCCGGGCGAGGGAACTGGAGGCTTTCAGAGCTGGATTTCTGCTGTTATCCAGCTCAGCCCCTATAGCTGGCAGGTAGGATGCTCCCGGTCCCTCCCGCCCGTGACAGCCCAGAGGAAGGGGCATGGCAGCTCATGTCTGCCCCCCACCCACCCCCATGCAGGGATTCCTGAAGCCCACACATCTGCCCTGTGCCAGGGGAGCACCCCCAGAGCCCCCTGCCATGAGTGCTGGGAGCCCTACACTGGCGCAGAGCCATCAGGGTGCTACTGATGCCCTCAAGCACCCCAGGCTCCCGGACCCCAGCTGAACCCCAATTGCCTGCTGAGATGTGCCCCCCCTCAAGCCCAGCATCTCTCCCACCGCCGGCCCCCCAGCCCTCACATCCTCCCACCCCATAACCACGCTGCCCAGCTCGCCGGAGCGGGTATTTGGCTTCATGCCCGCGGTGGTGTGTGTTACCTCCCCGGCATGTTTAATTCATGGGGCAGGAGGAAGGCGGGCAGCAGGGGCCCCCTTAGTTGCCCCCAGCCCCCTGGCATCCAATCCAACCCAAAGTGGGTGCCGTTTGGCACCCCCACTCCTGCCTGCCTTCCCACCCCAACCTGGGGCAGGGCACGGGGGGCTGACCCCGCTGCGGGGCATCCCAGCAGGGCTTCAGCCCCGCAGCCCCGGGAGTTGTCTGCCGTGTTCGCACCAGCGAGCAACTGTTTTGACAGAGCTATTACTCACCCGTCAAGCTTTTGTTCGAGCTGACCAGCGGTGCCTGTCTGGAGTCCTGAATAGGATCAAATCCTGCAACCAGACACACACACGAGCACGCACAAGCGCGCAGGAGCGTGCGGCCGAGCTCGCCCCGATGCCAGGGCTGCTGCGGGGCGGCTCGCCTCTCCCAAATCCTCCCTCCGGAGCCATGGGGGTCTGGTGCCCCCCCATCCCAGGCACCTGCATGAAGCTCTGGGTGCTGCTGGTTTGCAGCCTCCTGGCGTGGAGGGTGGGTGAGACAGGGTCGGATGCTCCAGAGAAGTTGCCCGCGCTGGCTCCGGGAGGTAATCAGGAGAGGGTCTGGGGGGGGGGGAGTCTGGTCCCAGCAGCAGGGCTGGGGGGCAGCTGGCTTGGGGAGGGGCAGGGGGGGACCCTGAGCACCATCCCCTGGGGCCAGGCCAGGCGGGCAGGGGGGCTGGGTGGGTGTTGGGCACCCAGGGATGACAAGGGGGTCTCGGTGGGTGATGAGGGCTGGGGATGGAATGGGATGGGTCTGGGAGGGGGGGGCATGGGGCTGGTGATGGGATGGAGCCAGTGATGGGATGGGTCTGGGAGGGGTCTGGGGCTGGAACTGGTGATGGGATGGGGCTTGGGGGGGGGTCTGGGGCTGGTGGTGGGATGGAACTGGTGTTGGGATGGGGCTTGGGGGGGGTCTGGGGCTGGTGATGGGATGGAACTGGTGATGGGATGGGGCTTGGGGGGGGTCTGGGGCTGGTGATGGGATGGAACTGGTGATGGGATGGGGCTTGGGGGGGTGTCTGGGGCTGGGAAGGGTCTGGGGCTAGTGATAGGATGGGATGGGGGGGTGGTCCTGTGGCTGGTGATGGGATGGGGTGGGGAGGGGGTTATGGGGCTGGTGATGGGGCGGTAGTGATGGGTCCAGCCTGGTGGGGTCTGGGTGCTGGCAGCACAGAGGCTGGGGAGAGGGGGGGAGAAGGTACATTCCTGGCAGTCTCAGCCCACCCATGCGAGACGGGGGCTCAGCAGGCTGGACCCCCTGGCCCCTGCCCCTTTTGTGCTCGCAGCCCAAAAGCGCTTTTTTCTCTCCCCTCGAGTCTCCATGGAGACCCGGGTGCCTTCTCCGTATCCCCGGCTGCAGCCAGATCCTTCCGGGGGTCGTGGGAGCGGCCGATGGCTGCTGCCGTGGCCCCCTCCTGAAGGGTCCGGACGCAGCCAGGGGTAGGGGGAAGGCACTTACACCCCACAGACCCCTTGGCCCCAGCCCCAGCCCCTGCTGTCCCCCCCTCCAGCTCTCAGCATGAAGGAGACCTTCCTGGTGCTCTCGCTGCACAACAAGCTGAGGAGCAAAGTGCACCCCCCTGCTGCCAACATGCAGAAGCTGGTGAGCACACACACACCACACCCCCCCGCCTTTCCGTGGGTCTTCCCCCACCTTGGATGTCCCATCCACCTCCCACTCCATGCCCAGGGAGGGGGGCAGCCCACGGGTGCCACGCAGTAGTTCATTAACAAGCTAACGAAGCAGAAGAGCTGGCGGGGATGGGGCCCCCAAGGAAGGACGTGCCACCAGCACTACCAGATCCAGCACACACCAAGGGCAGGGCTGATCCCTCGGGGACCCCCGTGGGGTCCCCCATGCCCCCTGATCTCTGCCCCCCTCCGCACACCGAGGGCAAGGCTGCTTCCTCAGGGTCCCCTGTGGGGTCCCTCGCATCCCATGTTGACCCTGGGTATCCCCCCAAACCACCCCACACCTGCGCACACCAAGGGCAGGGCTGGTCCCCTTGGGGTCCCTCGCAGCATCCCCCCATGTCAACCCTCTGATGTCCCGCCATCACCCCCCTGGACTTGACCCCTTGGGTGGTCCCCAAACCTGCCACCCGTCCCCAGCAGCCCCCTGCATCGGGGGGGGGGGGAACCCCTCGGTGGGCTCATGGTGCCGGCCTCATCCCCGCAGGAGTGGGACGAGGAGCTGGGGCGACTGGCCGGGGCGCGGGCAGCCAGCTGCCTGGAGGGTCCCGCTCCGCCGCTGACCCCGCAGCTGGGCTGGAGCGAGACCCTGCTGCCGGCGAGCGCCGGGGGCTTCGCGGCCGTGCTGGAGCGCTGGTTCGCCGAGGCCCGGCGTTACGACTACGGGACGGGACGCTGCACCGGGAATGCCACCTGCCACCATTACACCCAGGTAGGTATGGGGGGGGGGGGGCGGGGGGAGGCTGTCAGGGTGGGGTTAGGGGGGTCCGGAGGCTGGGGGACAGCGGTGACACGCTCTCTCGCAGCTGGTGTGGGCCACGGCGGGGCAGCTGGGCTGCGGGCGGCATCTCTGCACCGGCGGCCGGGGGCCCCGCCAGGCCTTCGCCTGCGCCTACTCCCCGGGGTAAGGGGCTGCGGGGGCGGGGCCTGCGCGGGAGGGGGCGGGGCCTCGGCGGGAGGGGGCGGGGCCTCGGCGGGAGGGGGGCGGGGCTGGGATGTGTGGGTGGGGCGTCAACCCTTTGATGGCCCTGGGGTGGGCGGGGCTGGGTGGAGCCCTCCCCCTGGAGTGGGCGGGGATTTTTTTTCCCGGGGGTGTGTCCAGCTAGGGGTGGGCTGGGATATGGGGGGGGCGTGGCCTTGTAACGGGTGTGGGCGGGGCTGCGGGGAGGGAGTGGGCGGGGAGCTGCTATGGGGGGGGTGTGGGTGAATGGGAGGTTGGCGGCGTGGGCGGGGCCTCGCCCCGGCGAGGGGTGTGGCTTGGGGCCGCGGGGGCGGGGCGAAGAGCTGGGCCACCGCCTCCAGCTGCCGGTGGCCCCAGGGGCAACTGGGAGGTGGCGGGGACGCCCGTCCTGCCCTACAAGCGGGGGCCCTGGTGCTCCCTCTGCACCGCCGGCCTCTCCGGCTGCTTCAAGTCCTGGGACCACGGCGGCGGGCTCTGCGGTGAGTCCCCGCGGCCCCCCCGGCCCACGCGTGGGCCCCGGCCGTGCCGCGGCCCTCGACGCCCACGCCGCCTCTCCGCTGTGCCCAGAGGTGCCCAGGAACCCCTGTCGCATGAGCTGCAGGAACAGCGGGCGCCTCGACATGGGCAGCTGCCAGTGTGCCTGTCCCCCCGGCTACACGGGCAGGTACTGCCAAGGTGAGAGGCACGGCCTTGGCCCCCCTCGCCCCCCCCCCAAGACGCGTGGGCATGGCCAGCGCACTGCGGGCGTGTGCAGTGTCGGTGCGATGCACAGGGTCAGTGCAGCGTGTGTGTGTGTGTGCATAGCTGGTGCAGTGTGTGTATGCACAGGGTCAGTGCAGTGCATATGTGCATGGGGTAGGTGCAAAGCGTGAGCGTGCGTGGCCGGTGCGCTGCATGTGTGTGCGCGGCTGGTGCAGTGCGTGCATGCACGGGGTCAGTGCAGTGCACGTGTGTGCAGTGTTGGTGCAGTGCACGGAGTGGGTGCAGTGCCTGCATGTGCATGGCCAGTGTGGTGTAGGCATGCGCAGGGTAGGTGCAGGGCATGCACGTGCACGGCCAGTGTGCTGCGTGTGTGTGCATGGCCGGTGCAGTGCGTTGCATCCATGTGCAAGGCCGGTGCAGTGTGTGTGTGCAGTGTTGGTGCAGTGCGTGCATGTGCGTGGCCAGTGCGGGGCGTTGTGTGGGCGCAGTGTCAGTGCCAGGCATGTGTGCACAGGGTGGGTGCAGAGCATGCGTGTGCATGGCCAGTGCGCTGCACGTGTGTGTGCATGGCTGGTGCAGTGCACGCGTGCACGGGTCCAGTGCAGTGCAGGCACATGCAGCGTCGGTGCAGTGCATGCACGGGCACGGCCGGTGCAGCATTCTGCCCTCGTGCACGTAGTGGTGCAGCACTTTGCATGCACCAGCCCAGCCCAGTGCCCACGTGTGCACGGCCCGTGCAGTGTGCGCAGCCCAGTGCCGTGCCCAGTGTGCAGTGCAAGCTCAGCTGGGGTGGGCAGGGGGTGCTGAACACCCCCCCACACCAGCAGCTAATGCAGCGCCTTGCCCGCAGTGAGGTGCAGCGGGCAGTGCCTCCACGGGAAATTCCGGAAGGAGGAATGCTCCTGCCTCTGCGACGTGGGCTACGGCGGAGCCGAGTGCGGCAGTGAGTCTGCACCCACCTCCCTGCACTGCTTCGGGGTCACAGCAGGGCTCTGCAGGCCAGGACCCCCACAGCGGGGCTGAGGGTCCTTTGGTGGGCCCGGCTCCGCTGGCGCGGGGACCCACTTGCGCCTGCCTGTGCCCCCAGCAAAGATTCGGTTCCCTTTCCACGCCTGCGACTTGAGGATAGACGGCGACTGCTTCATGGTGTCCCCTGAGGCCGACACCTACTACGGAGCCAAAATAAAGTGCCAGGTGAGCCCCCCAGGGTGCTCCCGGCATCCCTTTGCAGCTGAAAAATGCCCCCCCCCCATGCTCGCAGCCCCTCCGTGCTGCTCTCTGCTGCCTGGTGTGGGTCTGGGCTGTGTGTGTGGGGCTGATTCATTCCCTTCCCCGCAGGAGAAAGGGGCGATGCTGGCCCAAATCGGAAACCAGAAAGTCCAGGACATCCTGGCTTTCTACCTCAGCCGCTTGGAGACTGGCAACAGAGTGACAGACACTGATTTTGAGACTGGGAACTTCTGGATTGGTGAGTGATGGAGGTAGGCAGGATGCCGGGGTCCCCAAGGTGTGGGTGGACGTGCCACCCCGCCTTGTGCCCCTAGGTCTCACCTACAAGACGTCCAAGGCTGCCTTCCGCTGGGATGTGGGTGAACCGTCCTCCTTCACCAGCTTTGCTTTTGGGCAGCCGGACAACCAGGGGTAAGTGCCCGCCGGATCCGGAGGACACCCGACCTCTGCGTGGTGTCACCACCGCGTCACCGCGTTGGGGCTGTTTCACCACCCTCCCACCGGGGCACAGGTTCGGGAACTGCGTGGAGATGCAAGCGTCGGCTGCCTTCAACTGGAACGACCAGCGCTGCAAGACCCGAAACCGGTACATCTGCCAGTTCGGTGAGTGAGACCTCCCGCAATTTCCTGGGGTGCCAACCCCCCGGCTCTGCACCAACCCTGCCTGTTTTTCCTGGCGTGGGGGGGGCACTGATTCTCCGCGTCCCACCGCAGCCCAGGAGCACATCGACCTGTGGCAGCGGGACCCCTGAGCCGGCAGCCCCGGCCAGCGCTGGCTGCTGTGCCGAGCCCGTGGCTCGGGAGGACTCCAGTGCTGTGCCAAGCCTGGACCGTGGGGGACCACCCCCCCAGCTCCCCCCTGCAGGGGACGGGGGGGCTGAGGGCACCCACGGCGCTGGGACCCGGCGAGACGGGCGCGCGCTCTGCGTCAGCGTCCCCGAGACGGCGGCTTCTTCTGCCCCTCACCTTCCTCCGTCACCATCACGCTGCGACAGTCCCCAGGGTAGGGAGATGCCCCCACCACAGCCAGCTCCAGCAGCATCCTTCTGATAATTTGGCAGCCGGGCTGTGTCCGGACCACGGTCCTGATGCGATGGGAGGCCAAGTGGGGGGTTCTGGGGGGCGCAGACCTTGGCACTGCTCCTGGCCTGGGTGGGGACCCCCCCAGCCTGGCACCATGGGTTCCTCACCGTCCTGGTCCTTCATCTTCACCCAGTTCCTCACCATTTGCTGGGTGGTTAATAAAGACCCTCACTCCTTTGGGAAGAGCTGTTTGTCTCTTTTTCCTCCCCCAGACCCACCAGAGTGTCCCTCTGCCGTGGCCCGCATCCCGCCCGCGCTGGGTGGCACCTCCAGCTCCATCCCTGGAGCGGGTGCTGGGGTCGGAGGAGGCGGGAGGTCATGTCTCCAGCACCCTGGGGGTGTTGCGGAGGGGTGGCGTTGACCAAGAGCTGCTTCTTCCAGCCCCAGGATGGCCCCGAGCCCTGGTACCCCGTGTACTGGGCACAAACCCATGCTGTTGGGTGCCTCTGGGAGGGGACACGCCACCGCCATCCCCATGTTGGCACCCCGCTGGGACTTTCCAGCTGCAGAGTGACTTCCCTCGGCTGCCTTCCTCCCTTCCGCACAGCCCGCTCCGGCGCGGGGCTGGGGGTGGAAGGTGAAATGTCCCCAAGCCAGAGTGTTGCGTGCCGGCTGCCGGTGCCCCCGGCTCCGCGGGGGGGGAGGCAAAGCTGGGCCCGCAGCTCTGGGGCGAGGTGGGCAAACTGGGGGTGCCACCGAGCTCCAGCAGGCCGGGGGCAACCCGGAGGAAGAAGACGGAGGGAAGGATGGAGGATGAGGATGGTCCAGCACAGCCGCCACGTCCATACGGCTGCATCCTCGGGGGTGGGAGAGCCCCCGGCCCGGCGGGGCTGGGCTGTGATGCTGTAACCGAAAATCGGGGCGCCTGGGGTGGGGGAGTGAGGGGGGAGGGGGGGACGGGCGTGGCGGGGCGGGGCTGCTAGCCCCACCCACCCACCCCCGCCGCGGTGGTGCGGCCCGCCGTTCCCCCCCCTCCGCTCGGGCGGCGGTGGTAGGGCCCGGCGGTGGCGGCGCGCTGGGGCCGGGGCTGCGGGGCCGGGGCCGCCGGGGCTGCGGGGGGGGGGGGGGGGGGATGACGCTCTTCGGCAGCGGGGACGCGGGCTGGAGATGTGAGTATCGACCCGGATCAGGCCCTCCGTGTGTCCCCTTCACCACGGGAACGGCCTTCTTCCCACAGCCCACACCCCCCCCCTCCCACCGCCATCACCACCACCTCGGTAGATGCTCCGGTACCGAGATGCTTGGCCGGTACCGGCAGCCCACCACCCCCTCCCTGCAGCCCGGAGCCTCCCACCCCGGGCAGGGCCGCCTCCCGGTGCCGGGATGTCTCCCGCCCCTTTGGACCAGTCCCTCCCCTCGGATACGCATGTCTCCCCGGTACCGAGCCGCCCCACATCCCGGTACCAGTCCCTCCCAGAACAGCGATGTCCTCCCGGTGCTGAGATGCCCCCACGCCATTACCCCCAGGTCAGGGATGTCTTCCCAGTGCTGGGATAACACCCACCCACCCCCCTCCCCAATACAATTCCCCCCGCCATACCATTACCCCCCAGTACAACGACGTTCTCCCAGTACTGGGGTACCCCCAAGCCCATTACGGGGACGGGAGCCCGGACGCGGGGCTGGTGGCCCCGGGGTGATGGAGCCCTGCTGGCCCGGGTCCCCTGCCGCAGCAGGACAGGCCCCTCAGTGCAGGTGGCCTGTGACGGGGGTGCCCCGGGGTCCCTGGCCGGGGTGCTGAGGTCCCCGTCCCGCTGGCAGGGAGGGGAGCGGGTGGCTCTGCCGGGCGGGTGCGATGGGCTGGGGAGGGGGACGTCGACAGCGGGCTCTGGCGCCGGGCGCTGAGCTCGGCCGTCCCCGGGGGTGCTGGTTGCAGAAAACCCAGGGAAAACCCACGGAAAACGGGTGCCAGCGTGACCGGGCGCACGCAGGGTGAGGGGAGCACCTTTCCCAGATCACCCCAAGATCAGAGCCAGACTTCATCACACCAGGTGCCAGCCTGGAAAGCAAACAAGTGCCGGTTTCCTTCCGCTTGGATCTTGCTCAGAAGCCCTCTCCTCTGCAGGGATGGAGGGGCCTTGCTCTGGCAGATGCGGGGCTGGAGGGGACCCGTGGCCAGTGGCCACGCTCCTGGGGGAGGCCTAGACCTTTCTGATGAGCTGGTGTTTTCCCAAAGGACTCGGGAAGCTTCGGCTCGGTGTTCCCTGGTGTGGTGGCATCCACAGTGTCACCCGTGGGACAGCTGGTCACGCTCACCAGGGCCAAGGGAGAGCGTGCAAGAGGGAGCCCTCAACATCTCACCCACCAGCTCCTAGCCCAGGGGCCAGAGAGGTTTTGGAGCCCCCCCCCAAATTACAAAATTAAGTATATGGAGAGACCGTTAAAGCATTGAATCGGTGGCTCTCAAATGTATACTCAGAAAATAGATTCAACCCAGCTTTTATATGGACGCTGGCTGTGAAATCCTAAAGAAGGGGTGAAGAACATCGCCGGGGAGGTGTGAGGTGGCATTGCCGAGCTGCGTGTCTGGAAACGTCTCCGTCCCGCCTCTCGGCATCGCACGCGTCCCGGCAGCCTTTGGGAGCATGAAGTGGCTGGGTGCGGGGCTTCCCCACCCCCGGCACCCATCCGTGGTGGGCACCGCTCGCCGGCCGGCCCGGGACTCCCCGGAGAATGGCCCAACCACCCAGTAGAAGCGACCGCGAAGGCAGATTCACCATGGTTGTGGGAAATGTCCCTGCGGGTTAATTATTCTCGTCGTCAGAGGTGCTTTCTGCCACCCTAATTGGAGCCTGCCCGGCCCCCCGCTGGGCGTGTGCTCCTGGGAACTGGGCACCCGGGAAGGGGCAGCTGCAGGGACAGCCGGAGCCGCTCCATGTCCCGGCACAACCCCGGGCTGCTCCTGTCCTTCCCCAAAAACTTAAACCTGGAGAGAGCTGCCAGCCTGGGGCTCATCCTGCGAGAGCTCTGAAGTGGGACATGTCCAGCCGGGAGAGAAGCGTGGAGCCCCGGGGAAGCCGGGGCCAGAGACCTGTCCGCGCGGGGTAGGGTGTTGGCATCCCCTTTTCTTCCTGCGGCTCATTCCCCTCCTCTCTCTCTCTCCCCTCAGATTTGGACATGGCCAGGGAACCCAAGCCGAGCCGGGCCAGGCTGGGCCAGAAGCGGCAGCACGGCAGCAGCCTGTACCAGTGAGTGCTGGCACGTGGGGCTGGGATACGCTGGGGGCGGGGGGGACACCAGCTCGGGCTGGGGACTGTCCCACGCCTGGCTCCTCTTCCTCCCCCTGCTCTCCACTGCTCACCCTCCAACTATTCCGGCTGCCTGCCCGCAGCAGCAGGCGTGGATCCGTGCGATGTCCCTGCCCCATCTGGATGGGGCTCCCGGAGCATCGCCTGGCCGCACTGGTGGTGGCTGGAGGCCTCGCTGGGTCCCACCCGGGGCGCGTGGCCGATGGGGTCTGGAGATCCCCCTGCCCCATCTGAAGGTGCCAGGAGAAGAGCAGAGCCCTGCGGTCTCCACGCCGTGTCGATGTTGGTTGCAGTTCTGGCCTTTAAGTGCTGTTTTTCGGGGGACAGGCACCCCCGCAGAGGCACACAGGGCTGGGCCGTCCTCTTGACAGTGGTGGGAGATGCTGGTGATGGTGGCACTGACGGTAGCAGAAGAGAGCAGGTTCCCATCCCCGTGTGCTTTTGGCTCCGCGGCTCGGCAGACGTGGGGTGAGAAGGGGATCGGAGCCGGGCTCCATCTGTCTCGTTAGAGCGCTTTTTGCCAACACCCTGATTGAACTAATTGCTCTGCCCGTTGCCATGGCGCCGGAGGGATGCAGCGCTGGCAGGGCAGGGACCGCTGGCCCCCTCGGGCTGCTGGAGTGTGGCAGCCGCCGCTTTTGCTCTTCCCCGAGGGATTATCTGGGCAAAGTGCTGAGCTGGGGAGACCCTTGCTCTGTCCCTAGCTGGGTGCCAGACCCCGAGGCCAGGCCTCCTGCGGAGCCACCGGTGCTCCCACGACGGGAGGTGGCCTGTGGCATCCCCGTCCCTCTCAGCACTGGCTCTGGGCAGTGGAGCTGGCACCTTCCCTGTGCCCCGTGCGTGGGTTGGGACTCCTCTCTGGCTGCCCGTTGCCCTCTTCCCCAAGGCAGGTTGTGACCTTCCTCCCAGGGTGACAGGCGGGAGGTATGGGGGGATGTGAAGGACTCGCTGTCCCCGTCACAGCCATGAAAACTTGGAAGGCAGCAAGGCTAGACTAAAACCTCCCAAAATATCCCCAGCTGTAAAGAACAGGAGCAGGCAGGTCCCTGGCACCCTGGGGCTGCCAGCTCACCCTTACCAGGAGGGCTGTCCCTTGCGGGCTGCACCCCAAGCGTATTATTCTTGAAGAAGGCAGGGCTGGAGGTGCCTTTGCCCCGTGATGGGCTCCAAGCTGCCTTCTGGGCTGGGCAAGCCTGGCTCAGGCTTGGTGCCCCAGGCAGGACAGCCCAGGTTGCCCATTAGCCACCCCCCCCTCCCAGCAGACCTCCAGCTCTCCCCGAGCTCCAGCATCGGTCCTGCGGTGACAGGCTCATCTGCAGCAAAATCTGAAGCCCTGGGGGACCTTGTCCTTGTCCCCCCAATCCTGGCAGCGAGGTTGGGGAAGGCTCCCTGCTCCCAGCACGGCTTTGTCTCCCCCTCGGGTTAGGCTTAATCCTACGCTCTCTGACTCTGCAAGAGCTGAAGCAGCAAAATGAGCTTCAGCATCTTGCCTCCTCCTCCTCCTCCCCTCCTGCTCCTGGTCCACAGCGCATGATTTATTACCGGCACGTCGGCTGCCCGCATTGGAGGCGATCCGTTGACAGATCGCTTCTTAATTTGGAGGCGAGCAAGCCAGCAGCTTGCGCGCGGAGCCAGGGACCATGAAATTTAACATCAGGGCGCTCTAAATGCGGCTTCCTGAGAGCAGAGCCTGATGGTGCTGCCCCGTGGGTTCCCTCCATCCCCTTCCACGCCCTTGCTTGGCTTCAGGGCAACCCCCGGCCAGGGCCCAGCCACCTTCCCCGGGCGTGCTGCAGCCCGGGCAGCTTGCGTGGTACCCCCCCCAGGATGCCTCCCCGCTCCCCAGGGCTGGGGATGGAGACTGGGTGGGCGCGCTGCTCAGCCCGGCTGCGGCTGCTCCCCAGCATCCCTGGCCCTGCAGAGGAGGGTGACTTGTTCTCTTCTCTCCCCCTCCTGCAGCAGTAACTGCGAGCTGGACTACGATCTCTATAGGGATGACTTCCCGTACCGGTGAGCGCAACAATCTGGGAGCGGGGTGGGCTGAGCACGCCCGTGCCGAAGGCAGAAAGCGGGGTGTCCCTGGGCATCCATCCCCTCAGGGGGAACCTCGGTGGCGTTGCCCCCCTTCGAGGGGCACGTATGCCGCAGCTTCCCCAGGCTGGGGGGGCCTTGGGGCTGGGGTTCACAGAGCAGGGGCAGTGTGTGGGCCGGGCAATGCCCAAGCTGGGGGTCCCTCATGGCAGAGGGACCCTGGGAGACGCTCTCTCGGCTGGCAGGGGCTGCAGCTGCACCTCCGAGGTTGCGCTCACGCCGCCGCGCTCTTGTGCCCTTGCAGGGTGTACGAATACCAGAAGATCCCCCCCCTCATTAACCGCATCCCAGTCAAGGCCAGACGGACTCACGTGGGGGCAGGAGGCAAAAGCAGCCTGAGCCCCCAGCCCGGGGCGAGGAGCAGCACCAGCTCCACAGCGGGACGGACGAAGTGTGAGTGTGATGGGGCTGGGAGGAAGAAGAGGCTCAGCCCTCGCATTTGAGCAGTGCCGGTGCCTGCAGGTCCCGCTCGGTGCTGACCCTGTTTCTGCGAGTCCCCAGCTCAGCCTGGACTGCGCTGGGCTGGTGGCTGTCCCCTGGACCCGTCCTTGTCCCCTGAGGATGCCTGGAGGGGAGGATGCTCTGGCGTGTTCCCCCCGCCACCGCCACCGCCCCGGCTCCGGGCAGGCTGTAGGGCAGGGTGGGATCCTAACAGCTCGTCTCCCCGCAGTGCGGGCCGAAGAGCTGCACTCCATCAAGGGCGAGCTGAGCCAGATCAAGGCGCAGGTGGACAGTCTGCTGGAGAGCCTGGACCGCATGGACCAGAGGAGAGAGCGGCTGGCGGGTGAGGGGCTGGGCCGTAGACCCTCTGACACCCACAGCCTGGGGGTGCACGCGAGCCTGGCCCCCGAGCCAGGTGTTGGATCCCTTCCCGCCTGCCCAGGAGGGAGCTGGGCATCCCCCGCGTCCTCCCCCCTCCCCAGGCTGGCAGGGCAGAGTCTGGCCCTTCGGCACAAGCGGACCCTGCGAGGACGGGGCTGATGTTTGCACGGGTACCCCAAATTTCTGCTGGCTCTGTCCCCGCAGGGTCCAAGGAGAGCGAGAAGAAGAGGGTAGAGACAGGAGCAGAGTCGCCGTCCCCAGCAGGAGAGGGGTCACGGGAGCCCCGGGGGAAGGAGGGGACGGGAGCTGACGGGCACAGCGACCTGCGCAACATCGACAGCGCCGAGGAGAGCACAGACACGGAGGAGACGGTAAGAGGAGGGTCAGATCCCGTGCCGGGCTCTCTGCTTTCCTAAAATTCATCCCCGCTTGCGGCCTGGGTGCGTCCTGGTGGGGGATGCCCAGAGCAGAGATTATCCATCAGGGTCCCCTGAGACATCCCGGCTGCGTGCCAACTGCCCGCGCCTCCGCGACAGCCCCGATCACCCCGCAGCAAACCCTTGTGAAAAACCCCCTCGGAGTAGAAATACCTTTTTATCGAAGCTGCTGTTGCTCCCGCACCTGCATCCCCCAGCTGGGGGGCAGGACCCCCAGGGTCCCTGTGCCGGGCAGGGCGCTGGGTTTGATCCTGCTGCCCCGACACATCAGAGGACGGCCGCTCCGTGCGCTTCTCCTTGCAGGTGAAAAACCACATGTCGGACCCTGAAGGGAGCCAGTAGACAGACTGGGGTGCCGTGGCCAGCCCTTCCCGTCTTGTGTTCGTATTTCTTTTGAGGCTTCCAGCTAGTGCCACGCAGGACGCGAGGCGCCCGCTCTCGGCACGGCCATCCCCTGCCGCCGGCAGCCCCGCGTCCCACCCCCCGGGAGACACCGGCCACCCGTGGCGAGAGAAGTCTTTGTGTTCCAGTGCGCTTGTTTTCTTTTTCCTCCTGTTTCAGACCTAGGGATGAGCAGACGTGGCTGGGGGAGGGAGGGGAGGAGCAGAAAAAAGAAAAAAAAAAGAAAAAAAAAAAAAAAAAAAGGGTGGTATCCCGAAGGAGCATCCCAAATCCCAGCTGCCTTGCGTGCAAGCATCCCCCCACCCATAGGGTGCTGTGGGGTGCAGCGAAAGCACCCCAGGGCTCCCAGCCTCTACAGCACAGATCGTATCCCGACCTCCAGTGCCCTTCAAGCCCACTCGCTGCCCCCATGCTTCAAACCCCCCCTTCCCACCCCGTGAATTGGTTCAGCAGGCGTTGGGTACAGCCCAGAAAGGCTCTCGGAGGTGCTCAGCATCCCGCTGTGATGCCGTGGGAAGGAGGGACCACCCTGAGACAGCTCCGAGGGGCTCCCGTGGGATTTTGTGATGGAGGAGCGGTGCTGAGCCCAGCTCTGACACCGGCTGCAGGGCCAGCAACAGGCCAGCGCAAACCCAGCTGCTCCCAGTCCCCCCTGTTCCCAAAAGGGTTTCCCTTGCTGGTCCACCGCGGGCTGTCCTTGGCCACAGATCGTGTTTGGGGTCAGCAGGGCACCCCACCTGCTCCCCAGCATTGCATCTCAGTTTGGTGTCCCTCATTTCTAGGTCGTCCTTCTCTCACTGGTAGGAACTTGTTCTGTATTTCTAATTTGCTCTGGTAAAAGAGTGTATTGTGTTGGAAAGAAAAATAATTTGTATTTCTTTTCTCTGAGTATTTTACTTCAATGCAGTTTTTAACCATCTGAAGCGCACGTGTAATTTTTGTACCCAATCTTGGGTGTTGCCTGCCCCAGCCCTAGGCTCTGGGAGCTTTCTAGGATGCTGCCTTCCCTGTAACTCAACCGCGAGGCAGGAGGAAGGCGGCTCTGCCGTGTTTCTCAATGTCAGCATTCATCACCGCCTTTACCCAGAATATTCCCTACCAGCCTGGTGCAGTGCAGCTCCTCTCCATCCGCAGGAATAACCAGACCCCAGGGCAGCATCCGGCTCCCTCCGCACCCCTCGAGGAAGGACAGTGGGAGCAGAGAGGGGGCACCCCGAGTGCGTCCCTCCACCTCTGCCTGCAGCTGGCAAGAGGCCCCAGCAGAGCCGCGCAGGCAAACGACTCACCAGAAAAACCTGATTTATTATTAAAAAAACCCAAACAAAACCTATCTCCTGCCTGAGCAGGCAGTCCAAGAGAGATGAACAGTCTGGGCCAGGCGGTGGTTCCTGCCCGGTGCTGCCTGGCCCCTGCCTCCAGGGATGGTGGGGGGGGGGGGCGGCCGGGTGCGAGGGTCTCGGCACTGGGGCCACCCTGGGGTGGGGTGTGGGGGTCCCACAGTGCAGGCAGCTGCTTGGAGGGAGGTCTCGGGCAGGGGGTGGCGGAGGAAGGCTCTGGCTGTTCTTTGGTGGGGGGGGGGGTGCTCTGGCAGCGTGCGAGGCCGCTTGGGTCCCGTCCCCCCCACTCAGGAGTGGGGGGATGCTCCTCCTCGGGCAGGCTCCAGGGTGCTTTGGGGGCTCTCGACGCAGACTCCTTGGGTAGGTTTCTCGGGCCGCCGGTTGCGTGGGCAGCTCTGGAGATGGGGGGGTGTGTGTGCGTGGTGTCTCCGGCTGCTGCAGCGCTGGCTTGGTGGGGTGTCCTCCAGGCAGCTCCAGATGACCCCATCCATTCCCCCCCCCCGGGGGCGCAGCACGGTCAGGCCGTGGCATCGCGGCGGCGGGCGGCCCGCAGCAGGCTCTGCCGCAGGACCGGGTAGAGGCGGTGGCAGCCGTCGAGGCCGAGGCGCAGCGCCCGGGCCCAGGCGTCGGGCGGGCCGCCCTGCCCGCCGCCCAGCACCGCCGACACCTGGTTGAGGGCGGGCAGCAGGGCTACGGTGAGGCGGGCGACGGCACGCCGTTCCTCGGGTTCCCCGGGCTGAAGCATCCACGCACCGTCGGGGCCCGGGGCTCGGCACAGGGCGCAGCCCACGGCCAGGTCGTACATCTCGACGCCGGCGTCGGCCAAGGCGACGGAGGCGGCGGTGACGGCGGCGGCCAGCGCGGAGCCGCCGTCCTGCAGCAGCAAAGCGCTGACGGCCAGGCGGGCCCGCGGGTAACGGGCCAGCCTCACCGCCGGTTCCAGCGCTTCCCTCAACGCCGCCGCCGCTTCCCGTTCCGCTTCCCGTTCCGCCGCCGAGCCCGGCCGCCCCCGAGCCCCGCGCCCGGCGAAAGGGGCCCGGCGGAATTCGCAAACCAGCCGCCCCCCCCCACCTCCTCCGCCTCCTCCTCCCGCCGCCGGGGCCGCGCCGGGCTCGGCCGCTTCCCGCGGGCCCCAGGCGGCACAGAGCACCTTGGTGCCGCTGCCCAGCTCCACGTAGGCCGAGCCCTCGGCTTGGCTCAGCAACCCGGCCCGGGCGAAGAGAGGCCGCAGGGCGTAGGGGTCCCGCGGAGCTTCATCCTCTTCTTCCTCCGGCAGCGCCCCCGCCCACAGCTCCGGCGGCTGCGACTCCTCCGGTCCCCGCAGGCGACGGTGATCCAGCGGCATGCTGGGCCGAGCAGAGGGCGGAGGAGGAGGAGGAAGAGGAGGAAGAGGAGGAGCCTGATACAGGGCCTGGAGAGGAACAGGGGGTGTAAGGGTTAATATGGGAATAGCAAGAAGGGGATGACGAGGGAAATAACAGTCGAGATAAGAGTTTGCTTAGATTGCACAAGATAGATAGTGCTGTGTTTGTGTTGCTCGACCACTATCTCCTGTTTAAGTAAAAAGCCTCCTCCACCCCTGAGTAAGTGAAGATGTTTGTGTTGATGGACCACTATCTCCTGTTTAAGTAAAAAGCCTCCTCCACCCCTGAGTAAGTGAAGATTACCCCACAACCGGCACAAACCTGCTCTGCGGGTCCAGGAGGTGACAGAGACTGCGCAGGAATTTGGGGTGAAAAGTCCAGCACTGAGGAAGAGGAGATACTTCCTCCCACGACCACCGCCCAGCCCTTCACGACCCCTGCCCAGGACCAAAGGAACTCACTGCGCAGACTCAACTGGGAGGAGACCATGGAAATGCTATTTTTAATACGAAGTGGGGATAGGTGATGCATATGTATAGGCGTATTGCAAAATATTATGAATATGTAATCATTTGCTCTATAAATCTAAGGCAACTGATACAGGGCCTAGATAGGAACAGGGGATGTAAGGGTTAATATGGGAATAGCAAGAAGGGGATGAGGAGGGAAATAGTCGAGATAAGAGTTTGCCTAGCTTGTATGAGGTGTTTGTGTTGCTCGACCACTATCTCCTGTTTAAGTAAAAAGCCTCCTCCACCCCTGAGTAAGCGAAGATTAACCCCACAACCGGCACAAACCTGCTCTGCGGGTCCAGGGGGGGTGACAGAGACTGCGCAGGAATTCGGGGTGAAAAGTTCAGCACTGAGGAAGAGGAGATACTTCCTCCCACGACCACCGCCCAGCCCTTCACGACCCCTGCCCAGGACCAAAGGAACTCACTGCACAGACTCAACTGGGAGGAGATCATGGAAATGCTATTTTTAATACGAAGCGGGGATAGGTGATGCATATGTATAGGCGTATTGCGAAATATTATGAATATGTAATCATTTGCTCTATAAATCTAAGGCAATGGTGCCACATGGTTGCACACACATTCGGAGGAGCAATCCCCTGTGTGCCCAGCGCTGAATAAACATACCTACTTTACAATCTATCAGATTGTGGAGTCTGTTTTCCGCACGTCAAGCCCAGCCCACCCCCCCCACCCCCCCCCAAAGCAGAGCCGAGGCAGCAGCAGGGCGGGCAGGCAGGTTTTATTCAGAGGGAAGATGAGAAGCGGCGGCTCAGCAGCGGGGCTCCCGTCAGTTCTTCAGCTCGCCCAGGCGGAGCCTGGCAAAGTCCGTGGCCAGGCGCAGGGCTTCCCGCAGGCAGCCCACGTTCTTGCCCGTGGCCTGCGCCGAGACGTCCTTCCCCCCGCCTTTGCCGTCCATCAAGCCCGACACCTCCTGCACCCACTGGCTGGCCTTCAGGCCCTTATTTGCAGTCTCCTGGGCAGGAAAAGAAACATAAAAAAAAAAAAGAGGGAGCTTAACCTCAACCCAGCAGCGAGGGAAGAGCATCTAGGAGCGCAGCACAACAGGACAAAGCGCTGTCACCCTGCAGAAGAGTTAGGTCAGGGGCAGCCCCCACGCCTGCAACCGCAGCAAGTCCCGGCCCCTTCCCATCTGCAGAGCACAAAGCCCCCTCTGCAGCCTGCTGCTAACCCGAAGCACAAGGGTTGGGGGCTCTTGCCAACCCCAAATGAGGCTGCAGATCCTCCGCCGAGGCTCAGAGCAAGGCAGGGGCCTTACCTGGGGTACCTGACACAGGCAGGTGATTCTGCCGGCTTCGTTATCTACAGTGAAGAGCATGGTGGCCGTCTGGGGGGAGTGAGCCTTGAAGAGCTTCAGGGATTCGTTCAGGGCCTGGAGGGGGACAAAAGCATTGCAGCACACTTTCCCTGCGCTGGCCACTCCGGCCCCCGCGGAGACCTCGGGGAGCTGGACGTGCATTGAACTGGCCAGCAGCACCCTCCCTCCCAAACCCGGGCGATCTGCACAGCCCCGGCTGCACGGAAGCCTTGGCAGGGGATACACATCCCCTCACGGCTGCAAGGAGACAGGAGCGAGGAGCTGCTTTTATTTCCCCACCTCCAGTTCTCCAGGAACTGGCAGAATGAGCCCCAAAGCAAGGGAACCTTTGCCCGAGCGTACTGGTTGGAGGGGAAAATGCTCTGCAGCAGGGAGAAGCTGTTCTGCAGCGAGTACAGGAGGACTCAACCGCAGCGTGAAGAAGCTTCGAGGGTTATCAGACACAGCAGGGATGTGGGAAAAATGGGGGATACTGCCAGGCATTCTGTTATCCCCAAGGAGACCGTCATCCTTTGCTCGGATAGACACAGAGCTCCAGGAGCGGGGCCTCCAGCGAGCAAAGCTGGACGGGGAACAGGCAGCTCTCCGGTGTGGCCTTCTGCTGGGGAGGATGCTGCCTTGGCACAGCTGCAGAGCGAGCAGGACCACCCCGAGACTTCCAGAGTGGAAATTTAAACAGGGCATTAAAACTCGAGTGGTTCAACCTGCGGGTACGATCGGCCCCCGCTGCCGGGCGCTCGCTGGGCTCGGCACTGCGGCACAGCGCACACAAGGGAATTTTTATTCACAACACAAAGCGCTCGGAAAGAAACTTAACTTGTTTGTGGAGGAGGGAAGGAGCAGTTTGAGCCCCAGCCGGAAAAGAATTTGAACCTTGCTGCAGCAGACAGGGCCCAGGAGCTGGGGAGCAGAGTGGCTTGGCAGAGCCGCTGTTGAGAGTCCCTTAAGCCTGTGTTTTAGTGACACAACTGCTGCTGGATGAGTCTCACCTGGGACACAACAGGATTTCTGTTGGGGTCCCTACCCACCACCAGGTCTGGAAGCTCAGCGAGTGGGGTCAAGACCCCACCCACCCCCTGCACACCCCCGTGTTAGTCCAGGAGGTGGGATGTAGAGAATAGCCCAGCGGTCCTTCCCCTTTTCCTCAGCCGCCGCTCAGGGCTGGCAGGTGGCAAGGGAGACATCTCTGTAACCCAGCACCGCCGCCCCGGGCGAACAGAGACCACCCAACTGCCCCTCAGGCACACGGAAGGTTGTTGAGGAGAGACCAGACCTTTGCTGAGGCTCCATTTTCCATTTCCATGATCACCAGCGGTTGGTTAGGGTGACTCTCAATGACTTGCTTGGTCTTCTCCAGCACCTGAGGACAACAGCGGTCAGATGCTAGAGCACACACGTTGCATATGGACACAAGAACCACCCGGGGCAGAGCTTCCCCGCAGGTACAGAGGAACCCCCACAGTGCACCAACACGCCCCCAGCTGAGCCCGGAGCAGCCTCGCTGCACCTTGGCAGGTGGGTGTGCGGCCTGCAAGGCAGTGCTCCACGCGATTCCTCCTCCAGGATAAATCCAACGGGATCCAGGAGGAAGAAGCCTGCACCCAGGGGCACCATTAGGGCAGGAGAACCCCAACTTCCAACAGAGGCTGCCAGCATTTCAAGCCAGGGAACAGACACGGAGGTAACCGTGCCCTGAGCAGGAGAGGCTGAACAGCATGAGGGGCCCCCCGCTCCCAGCTCAGATCCCCTCCACACTGGACACAAGTGATGCTCCCAAGGGAGCCCCCCCCACACTGGCCTTTATTCCTGCCCAGGGCTCACTCGTTTCTGGATGTCGGCTTTGCTTGCTCGGTCCAGGTCATCCATAATTTTCTTCAGGGCTTTAACAGCCTCTCTCAGCTCATCTTTCTGCCACTGCGGGATAACAGCAGTAGCCAGGGTCTGCGAAACAGGAGTAGGTGGAGAATTAAAAATACTGGTGACCATGGCAGAAGATGCTGCACCACACTCATGAACCTCAAGTGCCTCAACTGGCAGAGGCCAGTAATCTCTCTTCCTCTCCCAGTGCCCAACAGTCTCAGGCATGAGGTGCTAGCTGCAGCACCCATGGACAGGAGCAAGAAGCTGAACTTGAGCCTCATTAATACCACGCAGTGCTGGCAATCAAGGTCTCATTCACTTTGGGAAGGCAGAGCACTCCTACGACCCTCACCTCACCGAGGTCCGTGATCTCCTTCTGCACATCCTTGTTGGGAGCTGTCTGAACCTTCACCTTGGCCTCCAGCGCTGACAGCAGTTTCCTGAGGCTGTCGACCTTCCTGAGGGCCTAGCAGAATACAGTCTGAGTTAAGTAAGGCAGGGAGATTTAGCAGGCTGGGCTCTTGGCCACCCCCATGAGAAGGGGTGAGGAATGCTGCAGCCCCAGGATGGAGTTCCTTAACTCCTCAGGAAGCAGCAGAGCCAAAGCAGGCAGCACTTGACCAGAACCAGGTGACAGACAGCCCCCAGGACTCTTCTTGGACAAAAGGAATGCCAAGATCCTCCAAAAAGAGAAAACCAACTCCCCTGCAACCTCAGTTTCTCTCATTCCAGGAGGCACCAGCCCAGGAGCAAAGTCACCTGCCTCCTGCAGCAGAGGACTGGATTCTCAGACTTCACAACTCCCCCGCCAATCCTGCCAGCTGCCAAGAGCTCTAGATCTGCAGCCCATTCTGCAAAGCAACCTCAGCTAACCCCGCAGCCACCTCGCAGACCCCCCCACAGGCCCTTCTGCCATACTAACACGACAGCTACAGCCGAGACTTCCCCCCTTCGCTTCCTTCCCCGCTCTCTCCTCTCACTGTAGCACAGCCAGGGGCCTCCAGCACAGCCCTCGCTATCAGCAGCATCCTTCTCCACGAATCTCTCTCACACTCACACCATTCTCCCTGGTGCTGTGTATCCCAGCAAGGATATTGGACAAATTTGAACGAAAGGAACCTTGGCATAGGGTTAGTATGTGGGATGTCACAGAGGATCTCTCCTGTCTCCCCTTACCTTCCGAGCTTCGGCCCCAGTGACTGCAACTATCCTCCGGATGCCTTTAGCAATCGCCTCTTCTGAAACAATCACAAAGGGGCCAGCATGGCTGGAGTTCTGCAAGTGCCTTTGGAAAGACCCCGGAAAGACCCACGAGAGAGAGTTAGTAGT